TAATACTAGAGAAGGTGGAAAGAAAGAGGAAGATGAGAAGCAGCAAAATGGATGGACTCAGAGTGATGATGTGTAAACCATTGGAAGACTTGAAGGACCAGGTAGGGATAGCTATAGCAACAGCATTAGTCTTAATAGTGCTTTATAGCCCTCTCTAAGCTGTTTACAGAGTCAGCATATTACCCTTAACAATCTGAGTCCCCATTTTATCAACCTCGAAAGGAAGGAAGGCTAAGTCAGCCTTGAACCAGTCAGCACTGAACTGCTGGCATTCAGCAGAATTAGCCTGCAATACTGCATTCTAATCATTGCACCACCACAGCTCTTGTGATAGATCATTATGGAAAAAAATCTATCTACATGGTCACTGAAAATAAAAAACAACTTGATGGCACATTATAAATCAGCCCTTTGCCCAATAAAATATGTCCTTTAGACAATAATATTGTCTAAAGATGGAATCAGTTACAACTGTTTTTATGGGGAGAATATCTGTAATAAAAATGAATGTATTACCAAGAATTTTATTTCTATTTCAGACAATACCAGTTTTGACTTTGGATTTTACCCTTCAAACAATGGCAGATAGATATATCCAGATTTATCTGGCAACGGGTAAAAATTAAGACTTAAACCTAAGATCTTGTGTGATGCTAGAGTGGGAAGGTTTCAGATTGCCAGATTGTAGCCCCTCGCCTTGTTTGGTTAAAAGAATGGATAATGTTAAGGGATACAAGGTTACTAGATCTAGAACACCATGACTTGAGATTTGGATGGCATGCATACCATGGTATGATAAAGTTAAAGTTAGTGTTGATTTTAGAAACCACTTTATAAGGCGAGCCATTTTGAGAATTTGGAATAGATATGTATAAATGTAATTATTTATAAATATAAAATGAGATTATGCCTAAAAATACTCTTATGGCTTTTTCCCCACAAAGCATATTATAGAAAGGAAATGAGGGTTTGACAAAAAAGGTTAAGGTATGCAGATTTATTGGATCACTCGACAGAAGATATTGAAGTCCAGAGAACACCTGGCATTAGAAAGATTCAATTGTTAATGTTTTTCCTATTTGCAACCTACAAGTTGCAAAGAAGTTGATAAGAAACTATATGGTTTCAAACATAACAAAACTATTTTTGAAACAGAACTGTGTAGAAATGATGAATACCTTATCACTAAAAGGTATAATTTTTTGTTAAATTTGGAAACAGAAGATGAACTAGTTAAAAATGGTCTGGTAAACTGGGCAAAAAATTTCAATATAACATATCAATTGGTAAAGGGACTGAAATTTTCTTTATGCTTTAACCTCAAAGATAATTTCTATAAAATGAGGTATAGATGGTATTTATCCCCAGATAAATTGGCTAAAATGTATAAAGATCTCCAAATAATTGCTTGAAATGTAAGACTCAATTATCAAATTATCTTTTAGTCTACCTTTGGCAGACTTCTAAAATAATTAAAATATATTAGAGGGAAATTAGTAATGTAATTAAAAAAATTAAAAAAATTAATTTAGATCAGAAACTTTTTTGTTAGGATTTATGGATAAAACAGTGGGAAAAATCATTTGTTTTATTGTTATATATGATAACAACAGCATGACTTTTATACGCTCAGATACCCAAAATAGAGGAATGGTTAATAAAGATGACAGAACTGGCAATGATGCCTAAGTTAATGGCTCTTGGGAGAGAAAAATCATTGAAAAATTCATCCATAATTGGAAGCCCTTTACAGACTTTTTGCAGCAAATAGAGAAAAATCAAATTTGAATATATGGGTTTGACGAATGTTAACATTTAAAAAGAAAAAAGAATTTTATTATCCCTTTTGGGGAGGATGAAATGGATGTTTTATTACAGTCTTAAACTAAGGATAAGTGTTCTGTATATCCACGGAAAAAGAAATTTTTACTCTTTATTGCTTCTTTTGATTATTAGTTCATGTTTTTTATGTGTATGCTTTGTAAAATGTAATAAAATTATTTGAAATTAAAAATAAAAACATATAAGGAACGGTTGCTGGAATTGGGTATGTCTAGCTTAATGAAGAGAAGGACGAGAGGGGACATGATAGCAGTGTTCCAATATCTTAGGGACTGCCACAAAGAAGAGGGAATCAAGCTATTTTCCAAAGCCCCTGAAGGCAGGACAAAAAGCAACGAGTGGAAACTAATCAAGGAGAGAAGCAACCTAGAACTAAGGAGAAACTTCCTGACAGTTAGAACAATTAACCAATGGAACAACCTGCCTCCAGAAGCAGTGAATGCTCAAACACTGGAAGTTTTTAAGAAGAGACTGGACAGCCATTTGTCCGAAATGGTATAGGGTTTCCTGCCTGAGTAGGGGGTTGGACTCAATGACCTCCAAGGTCCCTTCCAACTTTATTATTATTATTATTATTATTATTATTATTATTATTATTATTATTATTGCTACATGGGAAGCGCATGATGACCTTGTCCAAACAGAGACTACTATGCATTTACAATGGGCAGAATCCAAGCCCTTATGTCAAAAAATCCAGGAACAATCCATACAAAAAAGATTTTTAAAAACTCAATTGGTGCCAATGGAAATTTTTAACAGAAAATGAATACAGTATAGCAATTCAGAGCAAATGATGTTTAAACAAAATGGAGGGGTGAGAGGAATAGACTTTCCCATGTTAAACATCACAATTTGTGATAGTTGGTTGATTAGTTAGTTAGTTAGTTAGTTGGCTGGTTGGTTGGTTGGTTAGCTTGTTAGTTAGTTAGTTAGTTAGTTAGTTAGTCAGTCAGTCAGTCAGTCAGTCAGTCAGTTAATTTAAAATATAGAATGGTACAGGCATGAAGGTGCAGAAGAAGGGTTTCATTAGTGCTGTTGCCGGGATGATATATTTAAAGACGATTTATGTAACATCACAGAATTTCTGAATTAAAAATTCAAGATTACCCAACGATACAAACTGCATAAAAGTTAAAACTCTGAAAGGCCCAAACTTCCATTAATCTATCTGGAGAGCCATCATCTGTCCATCTCATCATCTATCCATCATCTATCCATCCATCAATCTTCTGTACATCTAGACACATTGGTTCCCATTCCCTTCAATGATTTTTTTAACTTTTTCAAAATATTTCAACACAAAAGATATTGATTTTCATTTTAACAATAAAAACAGATAAGGGAAATATAACACATATGATGCACTGTTTTCATTATTGTAATCCAGTGTTTCTCAACCTTGACAATTTTAAGGCATGTGGATTTCAACTCCCAGAATTCCACAGCCAGCATTGCTGGCTGTGGAATTCTGGGAGTTGAAGTCCACATGCCTTAAAATTGTCAAGGTTGAGAAACACTGTATGTAATCCATTGTATAATTTTTATATAATAAAAATGCAAATTGCAAATTTGCAAATGCAAATATTTAAAAGTAAGTACACTCCTACATATACCACTCACGCAAATAACTAAAATTAGAAACAGGTGCATCAGATCAGGTGCAAATGATTAAAACTTTTAAAATTGCTCTCAAGATCACCTGATTTTTAAATATGTATTTACTTTAAGTTTTTTAAGAGTATTTAGTTTTAATGGTATAACAAAGGTTTATATGTTTATTTTTTCGTTTTAGGATAAAGAAAGAGGGAGAAATTAGATTTTACACTATAGATATAGATATTCAAAGAAAGTAATGTTTAAATTTGTGTTTTTGGAGGGAGTTTATATAGAATGATGATTGTATTTAAATTTGTTTAGGTTTTAAAAGTGTTTTAAGTTTTTTTTTTTTTTTTTAATTAAGCCTGTACTCAGCTCTGGGAAGTCCAGGGGAGGGTTTGGGAGGTTGGGAAGGGGGGGGTGAGGTAGGGTTGGGGGGGGGTATGGGAAGGGGATTTGTTTTTGTAAAATTTAAAAAATTTTCAATAAAAAAAAAGATCACCTGATTTTTTTTATAAATATGTTTTACTTCATTTGAGTTTTGTTTCATGTTTTATTTAAAGATATGGGAAGAATTGTGCAATGATCAACCATAGAGAAACAAAATCAGCACAACACATGCCTGAAGCATCACTCATACTCACAGTTCTTTGGAGTTGACATCAGAAGAAACAATTCCTTTCCTGGCCATGAGCCCAGTCTCTTCATTAACATACAAAAATTCCAGTCATTAAAAAGGATCAATTACATATACAGTAGAAAGGCATCTAAGGTCACGGACAAATCCAAGAAACTGACTTTACCTAAAGGCAGATAAAAATCAGGATTGACTCCCAAGGAAGGAGCTCAGAGGTTCTAGTATTCTTGTTGTAGTATACCGAGCAACATAAAGATTTCTCAATGTCCCATTTTTAAATACTAAGGGCCTACTCCAGTGTATTTAGGAATCCTATATCTTATTGATTATGTGCCACTAAGTCATTGTAAATTCTTAGCAACTATATACAAAGATTTTCTCCATAGCAATCTATCCCTAATCTGATCTTCCATGTCTATCAACACCCATTACCATTGTAACTAAATGCATCACCTTACTACTAGTTATCCTCTTCTTCTCTTTCCTTCTATTTTTCCCATCATTAGTGTAGGAGACAGAAAATATAGCCCATCAATTCATTAGATTTGATAAGGCCTAAGTAACATAAAAAGGCCCCACAAAGACCTGAATCAAAGTCTCTAACTAGGATGGTTTCATAATACAAGAGAACTATTTGTAATCTGCTGAGCTGTTGTAATTTGCATAATATGATTTTGCAAAATAGATAGTTTTATAAGTATATTTGAACAAGAATGTTGTAATCGTGGGAAATAGGGAACTGAAAGTAGCAGATGGATGAAAGTTTCAGATGTACACGGATTTATGTGGAAAGTAATGGTCAGCAAGAAAGAACAAGGAACTGATTTTGTAAATGTTGCAAGATAATGTCCATCTGTGGGTGGCCATCAGGAAAAGGGTATAAAAGATAGAGCTCAAAATCAGCTCATGGCCACTGACCTATAGCTGTCCTTGCTGGACCTGCTATGTCACTGGACCTCATTATTGCAATGAGTTAATAATGTGAGTGATGTGTTGTTATGTTTGCTATGTTCCAAATTATTAGCAAAATAAACCTCTGAATCTTAAAGTAAGAATTATTACTTTGTGTTGCTGTCTCTTATCTTTTTCATTGGTTTTTTTCCATGACATTAGAGTCTTCTTCAGAGAACTACATCTTCATTTCACATTTATTGGAAACTCTCTCTCTCTTGCCAGGGGATTCATATAAAGCATACTGCAAAATTATAACCTTACTAAACTTCTCCTTCCAGGATCCTGGCTCTGATTCCCACCAAATACCATGCAATCTGTTCCAGCTTCTCTACAAGAAAATATGGGGAAATAAAAAGGAAATAAAGAGGTTTGTTTAAAAATTCTAAAATGGGTTGATTGATCCTCTTTGGAAATTCCATAATTAGAGTGTAACCATAGAAAAACCTCTCTCCCTAGTAGAGACCTACTTCATCTGCCTTTGGGTTGGGGAAATATGGAGGAGGTCACAGTAGATACAAATGAGAAAAGGCATTTCTTCAAGTAGCAATGTGTGAATTGAATTCAAGCCAGTTCACTATTCTCTGTTTAATTTTAATTCATGTGAACAAAGTAAAATGTCCTTTAAGTTGAGTGTAAACTTTGTGATTTTATAGACAGATCTGAGTGTAGTTTTCTCGGAAACTATAGACAACTGGTTTGTCACTCCCTTCTTCTGAAATTCATTTCTTCTTTACTTTCCAGTCTAGAGTAACCAGGTCCTATGAGTGATCCCTCTGTATTAAAAATTCTGCTTATGTGTTTTTGTTTTACTTTGGCAATTAATTCAACAAAATACTTAATGTTTAAAGCATGTTATCTTCCCTGAGAACATGACTCTCTGGAATCTTAAATACACAGCATTTTTCTTTAAATCAGTCTCTGAGAGAAAAAGTATGTTTTTCTTTTACAGACAGAAATAATATCCAAAGATTCTAATGTTAGTTTAGCATGGCAAAGAATTCACATAAGTTTTCATGTAAAGGCTTGCACATTATTTGTTTAATAGGATTTTCTGAATCTTAAGCAGGAAAGAAATATCTGTTTAAACCATCTGAATCATAAGCAAAAGTTGTCCATTTCAGAGAGCTAAACTGGCTTCAACAAGACTTCTTTTATATTCTTCCTAATCCTAATCTAACATTTATTTATAGTCATATCAAATGTTTAAAAAACATTAATGAGCAAATATTTTCAACTTATATAATTTCTTATGTCAATTAACTATATTAACTTTATTTCCCTTCTCAAAGTGAGGGAAAGCTAAAGGAGGAAGCTATAATTTTAATAAACCCTTATTTCATTATCCTTCCCGGGTCAAAGTTCTACAGATATTGTGTTACCATATATTAAAGTCAGGGTTAGTGTGAAGAAAAAGATGGCTTCTTTCAGTAGTTATGACTTTCGTCTTTTCAAAAGATCTTTAGCTGTTCCGTCCACAGGATTTTCCTTAATTTGTCATAGTTCTAAAGCAGAATAGGTTTCGACCATCATGGCAGCATAGTTTATGCCTGCATATTTTTCTGTCAAGTCAAGAAATGGTGGATAGCACATTAATTCAGCTGTGAAGAAGTAATCTCTAATGTTGAGCCAGTTGAACAATATCAAAGTATGTTATCTCATTGTTCAAAACAAGAAGGTAGTGTTTTGGGATGAGTAACATGTAACGCTATCGTAAGTTCTGGTATGTACTGACGATACTGGGTCTTTATAACCCAGGGCAAATCGCTGGAAATATTCATTTCCACCAGATCCTGTAAGAAGCAGGTAAGAGGGGGCATTGATATATTTGGAGAGTGACAATGCTAGAGAATAGTGAGAGGTCCAAAGAAGCAAAATGGTCATTAGATGGGAGACCTTTGATTTTCTTCTTTTAGAAATAGCTTTAGCATGTGAATCTAATCCTTCCCAGTGACATCAGTTCAAGAGGGACTATCTAAACAAAGGGGTAGAAAACGTCTTCCAGAAAGACTATATTTGACCATCATTCTATTTTTGTGTATGAGGATGTATAGTACATGTTTCTGATTCCCAAAAAAATAAAATAAAGGAAGAATAAATCATGTGAAAAATGACGTAGGTTACAAAAGAAAGAGGTCATCTTCTGAAAATATACTCCCCTTTTTCCCCAAAAATTGGTTGTTGGCTAATTTCAACCAGCAGACTTAGACCCTTTACTAATCTAATGAAATACGTCTTGCCAATATACAAACAAGGTGTTGTGAGAATCCTGAAAATGAGTTAATTCAGTAATTCAGCTATATATTTTGTTCCAACACAGCCATTTAGTTAACAAGTCAGGGAATTAGATAATATAAGCTTTATCCTGAGGCACCAATGATTGATGAGAAAAATCAAAAGGCCTGGATATTGAAAGGACAAAATGAACGGGGTCCATGGAAGTGGTCATCAAATAACTGGAAAGTTTTCACATAGAAGGAAGTGGGACAAAGTTGTTTGCTATTGCTCCAGGGGATAGAATTTGGAACCAGCAGATAAAAACGATAAGAAATTAGATTTTCAGCTATATCTTGGGAAAAGGTTTTAATGGCTGAGCTGTTCAATGCTAAGACAGCCTCAGGAATCAGGAGCTGTTTTTAGTTTGATTCATTTAAGCAAAGATGATTAACCATCAGTGAGATGCAAAAAGCAAAATTGGAAGAGCACTGAATAGTTGTGGTAACTACTACCAGCCTTATCATATCATTAAAATTAAAGTAAAGGACATCTATTTGAGATCCTGTGTGATATAGTAGCTCTGGAGAAAGCCAGATTAATCTGAAAGCAACAGCTTTCCTAAATTTTTATGGAAAGAAATTGATTTAAGGATGGCAAGTTCTGTCACTTAAGCTCTTAGAGAAAAAGTAGGATATAAATACAGGGACCATATGTCCTTCTTTTTATAAAGCTCTGTTTTTCATTTCAAATAGCTGTCTTCAAATTTATTTCATCTAATTATTTGCTGACCAAATAATTATTTTCTTGGTTTTGCACTTGAATGTAAAAACTGATTTGGGATTTGCCATTCAAATGGCCTGCAAGCCTAGGTCCATATAAATGTAAAGCCATTTTGCAAACTTCACCATAATTGATTCTAATTATGTAGGAGAGGGAATGATGGAGCCTGGGGGAGGAGTGAAAATAGTTATTAACCTAGAATCCCTACATAGCCACAAAGTCCACTACCATCCCCTTGAGTGCCACTGTCTCTTATTTAACTCTAATCAGGTGCTGACCATTAATTGAGAAGATTTCTGTGCCTAGGCTTTTAGCAATAAATCAATTTAATTGAATCTTCATATGTGAACCTGGTCTTTCACACCTGACAGACTACTCATTTTGGTTGTATTGTATCCACTGCTGTCACGCAGATATCACCAGATTGCCTCTTAGAGCCCATGCCTTGATCTAGAGGCTGTAAAGAACTGACATTTCTAGTTTTTTATATCTTTACTCTCTGTGTTACAGTTTACTAAACCAATACCAAAAGATTGAGATTGAAGCAGTACAACTGTTGTCCCAAACTGACTGGAGCTGAACTGGTTTGGAGGCCTTTCAGATCAGAACAGAAGGCAGCTATGATTTTTTCATCCATTTTACTCATTGTCTGGTTTCTTCAACTGACTAGATTGCAAGGTATGTGGGGGAAGGCATATTTAAGGCTATGTAAATCCCCCCTTTTAATATCTCCATAGCTTTCAAAGGAAATAAAAATGTGTGTGAGATAAGTAATAAATTCACAGAGGAAAAATCACAAAGTCAAGTTGGTAACTGCAACTATGTAATTGAAAGCACATCTTTATGAGTATTTTTTAAAAAAACTGAATGGGCCTTTGATTATATTGCCATGCCTATAATCTTGACTATATTGATTCCCCAACCTCAGACACTCCTGCTCTTTTAACAATTTTAATTCTTAAATATTTTCATGATCTTGATTTTAATTTAGGGGCTTCATTTTAATTGCTTCATTGTTATAATATTTTTTATTCATGTTCTTTTATTGTTGTACATAAATAACTCTTCTACAAACAAAAGACCAGGATATAAATTTAATAATGCATAAAATAATAACATTACAATTTCATCACAGCATGTCTCCCTAGAAATTCCTCTATGCATCCACCAAATCTAGACCTGAATACCTTCAACCAAACTGACATATCATATGCTCTTAAACCATAGTTAGGAAATGTTACTGGGTCATGACAATATCTATTGTAAACAGAAATGTGGAAAACCCATTACTGTTTCCCAGGCAAGGAAAAAAGGAATGAAGATGGATGGTTTTGATTTAATTGCACTGGGAAAGAGAGAATGATAAATATTTGGATAGTCAATTATTAAGCCAACAAAGTCACATATAAATGCACCACCCATTTCCATTCTCAATAACTTTTTATGAGACTAAAGGTAAAGGTTTCCCTGTCCAGTTGTGTCTGACTCTAGGGAGCAGTGCTCATCTCCATTTCTTAGCTGACGGAGCCAGCATTGTCTGAAGACATTTCTGTGGTCATGTGGTCATCAAACTCTACATGCTGAGGCACACAGAACGATGTTACCTTCCCACAGAAGTGGTACCTATTTATCTACTCACACTTGCATGTTTTCTAACTGTTAGGTGGGCAGGAGCAGGGAAAATTAATGGGAGCTCACACTTGAGTCTCAAACCCAGACTGTTAACTTTCCAGCTGACAAGCTCAGCAACTTTAATCAGTAAGCCACTAGTTATGGGCTGTTAAATTTTTGATTGTTTTGTATTCTCCAAGTTTAAGTTACCAATCAGATATTTTCAGAATTGTATCAGTCTTCCAATGTTGAACACAATTTATTCTGACTGTTGTAGCACTTTTGACCATTATATATATTATATATACATAATACATAGAAAACAAATATACATAATACATATAAAACAAATATATAAACATTATATATATAATTTTATAAATTAATATTTATATATAAAATTAAATAAAACTACATATAAAAATGAATATATTTTTTTATTTAATTCAGAATTGAATTAAATAAATTTCTGAGGGACTCCCGTGTGTTTGTCAGCAATTAACAATAAAAGAAAATAGTAAACGAAAAAGAATCAAATTATATCTCATTCTTCATTAATTGGAGAGTATTGTTATGTTTACTTATTTTGGCTAGGACCCTCTCAAGCTAGAAGGTGAGGGATGTTCTGGAAGCAGTTTCATACTGCTGTGCCCTTTGGTATATTTGTGTGATATCACAATGCATATACAAAAAGGGGCAGTGCTTGTGTTACAAGACCACAGTGCTGCTTTGATCATTCTGCCCTCCCGTCCCCTATAGGGCCCTCCTCTTGTGGGTATTACTGAGCACAGGCCTCTCCATCCACCACATTGTTTCTTTCATGGTGCAAAATAGAGAAAGGATCACTTGGTGTCCTCTTTCCATCTCAATCCTGCATCTATTGCAGTAAAAGGGTTAAATTTAGAATAATCAAAGCCGCTCCTTTGGGGACTGTTTATGTTAATCATCCACAGCATTGGTCTGGGTGGCTTTGAGAAAGTTCTGTGCCCTTTATATAAATATATAGATAATGTTTGTTTCTCTGGGTGTGTTAGCCTGCCTTCTGTCCCATTTTCCTAAACCATTTTGTTTTACTTTTGCTGATATTTTAATAAACATTAAGCTATGTTTTTGCTAGCTGATCTGAATGGCAGGTGTGCTTTCTCATATAAGGAGGTAGGAAGTAAGTGAGAGTGTACCGGGTGCAAACTGAACTGGAAATTATTCACAGTAATTTTCCAGCATATGGAAGTCCACACTTTGACATCTAACAAAACGTGAAACACTATACTGTAAAGCCGAACCATACAGAGACTCCCTTGACCCAGAGTGGAAAGCCATCAACAAACAAAAAATTATAACAGCTCTCTTCAAGTAAAAATAATAAAATGAGAAAACGTACAAGTAGTCTTTGACTTATAATTGTTTAGTGACTGACTAAAGTTACAACCACATTTTAAAAAGTGACCTACAACCAGTCCTTACAACTGTTACAGCATCCTCACAGTCAGACGATCAAAATTGGGCCACTTGGCAACTGGCATGTATGTATGATGGTCACTGCATATCAGGGTCATGTGATCACCATTTGTGATCTTCTGAAACAGATTCTGACAATCAAAATCAGTGGGAGAGTTGGATTTGCTTAATGACCATGTGACCCACTTAACATCTGCAGTGATTCACTTAACAATCATGGCAAGAAAGGTGGTAAAATCAGACATGAGTCACATAATAATCCCCTTGCTTAGCAACAGAAATTCTGATCCCAATTGTAGACATAAGTTGAGGAGTACTTGTACTTTAGTAGCTGCAGGGTCAGCTCTTCCCCTGGTTTTGAAGTGCTTCTTGAAGTTAGAAGAAAAGATACTGAAATGGGCAATATAAACTAGGTAGGACTACAGTCCATTTTAGCCCATTTGTCCTCATTAGCCAGTCACCTTTTAGCTATTGGCAATCTGCAATAACTTGTCAGAGGTATCAATGTTTCAATACCCCAAGAATGGACTGTAACCAGAATCTCTTAATACCCCTTTTAAAATCCCTTGTGTTTTTTATCTTATCTGTCTTTTCTTTTTCCAACAGGTGCTGCTGACCCAGAAATAGGTAGGAATTTCTATGTGCCCTAGAAACTTTCTGTACAAATTGGCACTGGGTGGTGAAAATGAAACCTGCTTGCCTTTTACAAAATCTTAGATATGTTATTATGTTGCTTCTAACACAATATAATCTTCAGAACCATTGCTATAATTCCAGTTGCAGCTTGTCAATTAACAGGTTAGACAAATAAATGTTATAAATAAGACATAATATGAAATAAGGAGTAGGTTAGCTAGGTTGCTCAACAGTGAGACACTGGTGAAGTGGCACAGCAGTGCCTGCATTTTCTGTGTCATATGAGAAGAGCATATCTTCCTTCCCCTGTCCTTACCACTTTCTACAGAGGGACGATTGAAAGCATCCTGTTGTACTGTATTGTATTACTGTTTGGTTTGGAAGTATTACTGTTTTGGACAGGAAGACTGTGCAGAGAGTGGTAAGGACAGCAGAAAAGATTACTTCCTTCTATCCAGGACATGACATGTAAACAGTGCTTGACCAGGGTCTGCAATATTGTTAGGGACACTACCCATCCTCTTCATGACGAGTTTTCTTTGTTACCTTTTGGGAAAAGGCTTCATGGTATCTGAAGCAGAACAACTAGATTCTATAATAGCTTTATACCGTATAGCATCAACCTTTTTAAGTTTCAAGACTCTTTTTTCTGCTATGTATTCAAAATGGATATGTGTGTGTGTGTGTGTGCACGCATTTGTATGTATGTATGTGTTTTGTGTATATGTATGTGTGTGTGCATGTGTGTGTGTTTGTGTGTGTGTGTGTGTGTGTGTGTGTTCTTTTGAGAGCAGGCATCAGAATTTCATTTTTAATGTGTGTCAGTATATACATAGAAAAAGTGACAACAAAGGTTATATTATAATATCTTACAATGTTTTGTTCTTTGACAAGTAATTCATTCTTCGACCATGACTGAGTTATCCTCTTTCATGTTAAAGAAGAAACCAGGCTTTTTCTTGGGATTGGATCAAAATCCATGTATGAATTAAGTCTATTGCTGATCTAAACACAGAGTGGATCACATACTGAGTCAAAAAAGTATATAGATATGCATATTAAGTATTAACTTGTTCCTCAGGAGACACAATCATTGAAAATATTCTTCCAAAAGTCATACAAAATCATTCAAAAAGAGATAATTTGTTTCTTTCAGGGTTTCATCTGTTGAACTTCAGGGGTTTGGGGGAAAGTTCCCTTTTGTTCTTATTATAATCCAAAATCTAAAACATTTTTTTTTTGTTCCCTGTAATGTTCAGGCAATATTTAGAAAGTGGTTGAAAGACAGTGACTGGCCAAAGTGATCCAGACGCTTCATGTATAAGATACAACTAGAACTCACAATCTCCTAGTTTCTAGCCTGATGCCTTAACCATTATACCAAACTCCTTCTCCCTCTCCTTCTTTGTTTCCCTTGTCTCTTCTATTCTGCTCTTTCTTGGCAGGTTGTAAGAGGTCACTAATCTCTCCGAGAATTGTTGGAGGCCAACCAGCCTCTGAGGGGTCATGGCCCTGGCAAGCGGGCCTTTCAGTACTCAACATAACTTTTTGTGGTGGCACTCTCATAGACAAGCAGTGGGTGCTCACAGCCGCTCATTGTTTCATTTGGTAAGTTACTGAACCGTAAAGTTAAGTGAGAAAAATAGATAGATTCTATTGTTATGATGCTGATCTTTTTAATAAACTAGAGTTTCCAGGAAACAGCTTTATTATGGTTTGTTACATAGCCAGATATTTACACTGGCTTTGGCATTTGTGTCCATCTATCAAGTGCTTCCCAAAGACATGGAATAGGCAGATGTTGCTCGATGATGTTAAAGGTATTGTTGCAAGATATAATCTGTTCCAAGTAAAGCTGCCTTTTGCAATTGACTAATGGTGATTTTGTCAATGCCAGTGGTATTCAAATGGTCCTCCAGATGCTTTGAGATTGCACACAAGGTGGCTATTACTATTGGTACTACCTTCACTTTCTTTTGCCAGTCATTCTATTTCTGTTGGCAGGTCTTTGTATTTAGTGATTTAGTGATCTCCAGTTCTTTCTCTTCTATTCTGCTGCCTACAGATACTACCACATCCACTATCCGGACTTTTTTGTCTTTCAGAAATGTTCACAGAAGAGTCAAATGAAGACAATAGCATTGTGTCAGGGCTATCCTACTGCCAATCTTTTTGTGCTTGCATTACAATTAGGGATACATATATAAAAAGACCCCACCAATGCTTTTGTCATTTTTTACCAAATCTTCAGATCCTGCCTCGGTTATACATCAATAAAAGAGTGTATTACTGTACACCAGCAGCAGTCCCCAACCTTTCCAGCTTGGCGGCCCAGCACAGGGGGGGGTGAGTGGCAGGTGCACACATGCATGCACAACTTCATTTGTGCGAGTGGCATGCATGCACACACACTCTCCACTCATGCAAATGGAGCTTCAGGTGGGAGCAGCAGGCACTTGCACTCATGTGTGAAGCTCTACTCCTGCAAATGGAGAGTGCTTGAGTGAAGGATGCTTGTGCTTGGCATGAGTTCAGCTTCATGCATGTGTACACATTTGCCTGCTGCTCATACATGTGGAGTGTGCCCATTTCTCCCATGCCCCAGTTTCAAACAGGCCACAGCCTGGTAGTGGGCCACGGCCCATCAGTTGGGGACCCCTGCTGTACACAGTGTCACTGGATGGTACTTTCCTGTTGCATACTATTTAATGTACACTTTTTGATACTGTATGTGGAAATCAGAGCTGGCTTCAGATTAAGAGTAAATAGGCACTGGCTTGGGAAAGCCAAAACTTAGGGGTACCAATGCCAATAGTTCCAAATCATTCTATAAATTCAAATCTCCACACTGGCAAGAAGTGAAGCTATCAGTCAATGTGGGCTAGGGATACCATGTACCCCTGAGTCAGCACTGATGGAAATAGTATACAAACGAGTAAATATTGTTCTTTCCTGCCAAACTCCAACAAGGCTGTTGGCATCTTTAAATGTGGCTGAGTTGGATATGAGGAAACATGGTGAAATTAAATGCAGACAAGATGTGGTGCCTCTGGCAATGCAGATGTCAGGAATTTTTTCAGCAAATGTTAAAATCCTGCAATAGTCTTAATAGGTCTGCATCCATAGATTGCTACTGACATTTTTTTTAATTATTAATACTTACAGGGTCCCTGAAGGCTTTGACGGAATTTTTGTGGGGCTAGGTGGCCACCAACTCATGAACCCTTCAAATAACTCAGAGAAATTTGCCATCCAACAGATCGTTGTTCATCCTAACTACACAGCTAATGACACTGTGTATGACATCGCTTTAGTGAAGCTAAATGACACTGTGGATTTCACCAATTATATCTTGCCTATGTGTCTCCCAAAGTCTTCTGTGGAGTTCCCTGACAATACCAACTGCTGGGTCACTGGATGGGGAAGAACACAATCTAAGGGTGAGGAAAGTGGGAAGTGTGTTTTATGTGATACCTTTTCATCCTTTCACATCTTTCATCTGTGGAACTTGTATGTTTAAAGATTAATTTATTTGCTTATGACACTAAAGTAACTTGAAGTTACTTTAAGGAACAACAGGACATACTTTAATTCATGAAGATGCTGGAGAGTGTTCCAGATACAAACCTGAGAGAACAAGACCATTACTTTGCATTGATACTGAGACCAAACTAGAGTTTTGCATGAATTACTGTGTAAAGTTACACAGTAGACTTATAAATCAGAAGGAATATGATAGGACCCTTTTAATGTAGTAAATGTTATTAAATGGCATGAACTTTCATTAGATGCATGGAATAATCAAAAATTATGTAGGATTTAAATTGGATGAAGCCAGGTTAGGGGCAGGATTGAAGCAAAGCAGAGCATTGAGTGGGTTTAAAAATCACTTTGGCTTACTTAAAAGTAGTAGGTTCTTCTTTTTCTTAAGGTTCTTTTTAAGGTTCAAGAATCAGCAGTAAACTCAAGATAGTGACAGTAGCTAGTGGAACCTCTGGCCACTAAAACCCATACTAATAGCACCAGCAAAGCTTAATTTGAGTTGTGTTCCAGACATCAAATGGGGCCCTTATTTCCAATGGCAGAAAAAAGCACTAAAATATCTGAAGGGCTGTTTTGATTTCACAAAAATGAGTTGAGTCACCACATCAAAGCAGAATTGGAAAAGAAATCTGGGACCCAACTGGAAGCAGCAAAGCAAATTAGATGGCTTCCAAGTGCTCTTTAATCTTTCCAGAGGTACAAACTGAATCAGTTTGCTCCCAAACTTTAATTTGCAAATTTGAAATGGATCACACCAAATCTCAAATCTAATTAATTAATTCAGGCTTATTCACAGAGGCCTGATTATCTTTAAACAGGTTTGGTTTTGAAATCAAATCACAATCAAAGCAAACTGGAAGTCTGAATTAGGTCACAAACTGGAATCAATTGATTGACTTGAAGTTTCTCTGATTTTATACACACACCAGTAACTGCAGAACAACAGGGAGCAAGTAAAGATATAATCCCTTTGGGTTCTCAGTTGGCATTCTTTTCATCCTAAACATCTACACATAATATAGGGGATGGGGTGGGATGGAGGACCACAAAGCAGATTAAATCACATCATGCAATGGTTAGGCTGCTTTAAAAGAGGACTGTGGCATGCCTATTTTAGGGACTACCCTTTATATGTCATGTGTTCTCCAGTTCAAAATAGTTTATGTTGGTTTCCATCAACCAGACAGCTTGGAGAGCAGATATAATCACAAGACTGTGTCTTACACATCCCTTAGTCAAACTTCTAGCACTTTGGCTAAATAACTGGCAGCTGTGATCTCATATCATTGTATATGTAATAATGATATGTGTAGAACAGAGTGGTTGGAAAATTTTAGTCTTCCTTGTTCCATCATAATTTACTTTCATCAGAAAACTAATGTGCCTGTATTTCTTGTCCTCTCCTGTCATGTTTTGGAAGAAAAGAGCAGTAAAATTTATGAGAAAGAAATAACACTGTCAGGTCTGCCATCTTCGGCTTGGCACCTTGCTGGCATCCTGCCATCAAAGCATAGGAGGGATGAGGGGGACATGGGGGGAATAAATGGACAATCAACCTGCATGTGTACATTTAGTTATTTAACAAAAACTAGTATGACAATCCCCTTTATGGATTATTGCCTTGTCATGGCGAAGGGGCTTGGGTAACTCAATGAAGCTATAAGCTATGCCATGCAGGGCCACACAAGATGGACAGGTCATAGCAGAGAGTTCTGACAAAATGTGATCCACTGGAGAAGGAAATGGCAAACCACTCCAGTATCTTTGCCATGAAAACCCCATGGACAGTACTAAAAGGCAAAAAGATATGACACTGGAAGATGAGCCCCTCAGGTCAGAATGTGTCTAATATGCTACTGGGGAAGAGCAGAGTGCTAGCACTAGTAGCGCCAGAAAAAATGAAGCGACTGGGCCAAATCCGAAAGGACACTCAGCTGTGGATATATCTGGTGGTGAAAGGAAAGTCCGATGCTGTAAAGATTTTTTCTCCATAGGAACCTGGAATGTAAGATCCATGAATCAAGGCAAGCTAGACGTAGTCAAAAAAGAGATGACAAGACTGAAAATTGACATCTTAGGAATCAGCAAACTAAAACAGACAGGAATGGGTGAATTTAACTCAGATGACCATCAGGTATACTACTGTGGGCAAGAATCCCTCAGAAGAAATGGAGTAGCATTCATAGTCAATAAAAGAATAGGAAAAGCAATACTGGGTTACAATCCCCAAAATGACAGAATGATCTCAATTCGAATTCAAGGCAAACCATTCAATATCACAGTAGTCCAAATCTATGCCCCAACCACTGGTGCTGAAGAGGATGAAATTGACCGGTTCTATGAAGCCCTACAGCACCTTATAGAATTAACACCAAAAATGATGTCCTTATCATCATGGGGGATTGGAATGCTAAGGTAGGAAGCCAAAAGATAACCGGAATAACAGGCAAGTTTGGCCTTGGAGTACAAAATGAAGCAGGGCACAGGCTAATAGAATTTTGTCAAGAGATATAATGGTCATAACAAACACTCTTTTCCAACAACCCAAGAGACGGCTCTACACATGGACATCACCAGACGGTCAACATAGAAATCAGATTGACTATGTGCTCTGCAGCCAAAGATGGAGAAGCTCTATACAGTCAGTAAAAACAAGACCAGGAGCTGACTGTGGCTCAGATCATGAGCTTCTCGTTGCAAAATTTAGGCTTAAATTGAAAAAAGTAGGGAAAAGCACTAGGCCACTCAGGTATGAACTAAATCATATTCCTGATGAATATACAGTAGAGGTGACAAATAGATTTAAGGAATTAGATCTGATAGACAGAGTGCCTGAAGAACTATGGATGGAAGTTCGCAACATTGTACAAGAGGTAGCAACTAAAACCATCCCAAAGAAAAAGAAATGCAAGAAAGCAAAATGGCTGTCTGAGGAAGCTTTGCAAATAGCTGAGGAAAGAAGGGAAGCGAAAGGCAAAGGAGAAAGAGAAAGATACACCCAATTGAATGCAGAATTCCAGAGAATAGCTAGAAGAGATAAGAATGCCTTCTTAAATGAACAGTGCAAAGAAATAGAAGAAAACAACAGAATAGGGAGGACCAGAGATCTCTTCAAGAAAATTGGAGATATGAAGGGAACGTTTCATGCAAAGATGGGCATGATAAAGGACCAAAATGGCAGGACCTAACAGAGGCAGAAGAGATTAAGAAGAGATGGCAAAACTACACAGAAGAACTATACAAGAATGAGCTTAACATCCCAGATAACCACAATGAGATGGTCACTGACCTCGAACCAGACATCCTAGAATGTGAAGTGAAATGGGCCTTAGAAAATCTGAGCAACAACAAAGCTAGTGGAGGTGACAGTATTCCAGCTGAGCTATTCAAAATCTTAAAAGACGATGCAGTAAAAGTGCTACACTCAATTTGCCAGCAAATTTGGAAAACTCAACAGTGGCCACAGGATTGGAAAAGGTCAGTTTACATTCCAATTCCAAAGAAAGGCAATGCCAAAGAATGTTCAAACTATCGCACCATTGCACTCATTTCACATGCTAGTAAAGTTATGCTTAAAATCCTACAAGCTAGACTCCAGCAGTATGTGGATCGAGAACTACCAGAAGTACAGGCAGGATTTCGAAGAGGCAGAGGAACTAGAGATCAAATTGCCAACATACGCTGGATCATGGAGAAAGCTAGGGAGTTCCAGAAAAACATCTACTTCTGCTTCATTGACTATGCTAAAGCCTTTGATTGTGTGGATCACAACAAATTGTGGCAAATTCTTAAAGAGATGGGAATATCAGACCATCTTATTTGTCTCTTGAGAAATCTATATGCGGGTCAAGAAGAAACAGTGACAACTGGACACGGAACCACTGATTAGTTCAAAATTGGGAAAGGAGTCCGGCAAGGCTGTATACTGTCGCCCTGCCTATTTAACTTATATACAGAGCACATCATGAGAAAGGCAGGGCTAGATGAAACAAAAGTTGGAATTTAGATTGCCAGGAGAAATATCAACAACCTAAGATATGCAGATGATACCACGCTAATGGCAGAAAGTGAAGAGGAACTAAAGAGCCTCTTGATGCGGGTGAAGAAGGAGAGTGCAAAAGTTGGCTTGAAACTCAACATTAAGAAAACCAAAATCATGGCATCCGGCCCTCTCAATTCCTGGCAAATAGATGGGGAAGAAATAGAGGTAGTGACAGATTTTATTTTTCTGGGCTCCAAGATCACCTCAGGTGGGGATTGCAGCCAAGAAATTAAAAGACGCTTGCTCCTGGGGAGGAAAGCTATGGCGAATCTAGACAGCATACTAAAAAGCAGAGACATCACCCTGCCAACAAAAGTGCGTATAGTCCAGGCCATGGTTTTCCCAGTTGCAATGTATGACTGTGAAAGTTGGACCATAAGAAAGGCTGAGCACCAAAGAATTGAGGCCTTTGAACTATGGTGCTGGAGAAGACTCTTGTGAGTCCCTTGGACTGCAAGGCGTTCAAACTGTCAGTCCTAGAAGAGATCAACCCCGTTGAAACTCAAATACTTTGGCCACCTAATGAGAAGGAAGGACTCACTGGAGAAGGGCCTAATGCTGGGAAAGATTGAGGGCAATAGAAGAAGGGGACGACAGAGAATGAGATGGCTGGATGGAGTCACTGAAGCAGTAGGTGTGAACTTAAATGGACTCCAGAAGATGGTAGAGGACAGGAAGACCTGGAGGAACATTGTCCATGGGGTCGCAATGGGTCAGACATGACTTCGCAGTTAACAACAACAACAAGTATGATAATATTAGATATAGACAATAGCACAGTTTCCAGCTGAATGGATCTGATGTTTTCAAAAATGTAGGCACATTTTTGGAATCCCAGTGGTCCTGAGATACAAGGGATTTTCATTCCCAGGAGATACTTCACTTGTGAAGTTACAATGTGTATAGCTTCTGCAGTTGTCATTGCACTTATCACTGGTTCTGTTAGCAAGAAGGCAGGGGGTAATGACATCTTGATGAAGAGCAGGAGAGCTCGGAACCAGTCTGTGCTACCACCCAAGGCCGTGCACCCTGAGAAAGAATATTACCCTAAACACCTCAGAATTCTCAAAATATCTAGGTGGATTCTTGTTGGCTGAAGATGGACTGGTCATGGGGGGGAGGGCTGGGATGTGGGGAAAATTTCTGTATCTTTTGAACATGGGAAAATTAGTTCTAGCCTGACTTTACTGCAGCCAGCATCTTTTAGTAAAATAATCTATCACTTCAACCAAATGGAGTTGATGTCTTTCTTTCCTAAAGGATTGGATTAGGGCAGGTCTGACACAACACTAATATTTACCTCCCTAAGATCATTAAACTGAATAGCAATTCTGTCTTCTGATAAATCTCAACAAGAAAAACTAAATTTGTTCTTCAAAATGAAGTTGAGGAATGTTGAAGGTTTGGCACAAAAGTTACAGTGAGCATAAACTCAGTTACTTGTTCTCTGCATTTTATAATGCAACTCTTTCCTTTCTTTGCAGTGGACCTGGAGCCTCCCCAAACCCTTCAAGAAGTGGAGGTGTCTATCATCAATACAGACATATGCAACTCTCTCTACAATGAGCTCAATATTACAATATTGCCCCACTCCCCTGTCAGGCCCGGTATGATCTGTGCAGGTAATTTAGAAGGGGGCAAAGATTCTTGTCAGGTAAGATGTTCAAAAGCTTAACTAAGATTGCGTGACATAAGAGTTAAATTTATAGTGATTGAACTTGGGTAATGTATTAAATTGGATTAGTTTTAATCTTGGTTGCGTGGTAGGGTTGCTAAGGACCTGATGAGGTACATGACATTAATCCTTAATGTTACTTTACGGTTCCATGTATTGGGCAATGAGTATTAAGTAAGTAAGTAAGTAAGTAAAGAAATTAACTTTGTTGTACCAATCTTGTCAATGCTGACATGGAAAACTTATGAACCTTCTCATAAAGGATTCAGAGTTCTCCATATGTTCTCAAGAGCCTCCTTCACTGGGAGAAGTATGGGTTCAGTGCTCTTCAAAATCCCAAAATAGGTATGGGAAATCATCAGCAAGAGGCCTTATATAATGTCCAGAAAAGCTCCTCAAGATTGGGCTCCTGAAATTTGATGGTAAGCTTCACAAAGATTTTCAATCAGTGAGATGATTCTTGCTGTATTTTACTAAGACAGAAAACAGAGAAGCTAAGCCTCTGAGAAACTTAATGAAACTGTTCTGTTCTGTGTGATGATAAGGCATTGAGACAAGGCAGGAGTAATAACAGTTGTTACTTTATTAAAGCTTCAACAGAACCTCAACAGAACAACAAGATGGCGTGGATCTCTTTTATACCCTTTTGCAGGGACAGCATCAGCCAAAAAATGCAATGTATTTTCCTGCTTTGAACATGCCCAATAAGCTGGAGACAGCCTATCTGGCCCGGGCAGCCATGTAGTCTGCCTGGGTCTCTCTGCAGCTTCCTGCATCTGCTCTGTTAATCATAGGCCAAGGACATAACACTCCTCCCCTCTTAGTTCAAAAACACACACCACTATTTTTTTAACTACTCCAAAGTTATTCCTTTGACCATGTTCTTATTTCTAGAGAAATACTAGGACTGTCGGCTTACAGACAGGAATCTTACATAATCTTGTTATGTAACCTTACATTTATTTATTTATTTATTTATGAGACTTATATACCGCTTTAAGTGCAAGCACTCTCTAAGCGGTGTACAGCAGTAAGCAATACCCCTAACAATCTGGGTCCTCATTTTACCTACCCCGGAAGGATGGAAGGCTGAGTCAACCTTGAGCTGGTGAGATTTGAACCGCTGACCTGCTGAACGCAGTCAGCTAAAATGGCCTGCAGTACTGCACTCTAACTGCTGCGCCACCTCAGCTCTACATAACCTTTGGAGGGCCTCTGGCCCATTCCAACCGTCTCAGAGCTGCTACAAGTGCCCAGTCTGCAAGCTCGCCTGCCAGGTTCGGTAGATTGGGACTTTGAGGCCCAGTTGATACAGACGAACCTGCATCTTGCTGACTGGCCTGGCCTGGTAGACCCAACCCTTTGTCCATCTGACTTTGGCTGGCTCTTTCCGGTAAGCCCAAACCAGACTTCCTTGGTGGGATGGAATTCCCCAGGTCCACAATAGACCCCTGTTGGGAGCACTGTCCCATAGGCACAAGGCCTGCAATAGAAGTGGCATGAAAAGCTGGTTGCGTGCAATGTCCCATGGACCCAGTGCCGGAGTCAGGAGCTGCCTCATTGGCAAAACCCCTATTTGCAGAGTGCAAACACCCGCTTTCACAGAGAAACTGAGATCCATAATCATGATCGTGGTCCTCCTCCCCCCTGAGAGCAGAGTCAGGAGCAGAAAGGTGGTCAATGACTTCCATGGATCCAGTTTGTCCAAGAGCCGGTGTAACGGCTCTGCCACTGCAGCCTTGTGAGGGTGGGAGGAATGGTAAAAATTTAGAAGCCAAAGGAAGGCTTGAAGCTCGCTCTTCGACTTGGGGCTTGGGGCCTGCTGAGTCACTTTGAGCTTAGATTCAGCAGGATGGATGCCTTTGCATCTATGCAAAACCCCAGGAATTCAGTGGAAGTTACTCCAATTTTGCATTTTTCCTGCTTAAGCTTTAGCCCTGCTTCGTGGAACCTCAACAAAATGGACCAAAGCCTCTAAACCAAGTTTTCGGGTGATTCCCCTGTGATGAGGACATCATCGAAGTAAGGGCAAACTCCCTGAATGTTATGACACGTATGCTCCATCACGCTTTGAAAAATGCCAGGGGTTACATTAACCCCGAACTGCAGTCTTCTGACTTTGAAAGCTCCCCGGTGCATTATGATGGTCTGAGCCTCAGCCGTTGCATCATCCACCAGTAGCTGTTGATAGGCCTGAGCTAAATCAAGTTTGACGAAAACTCAGCCTCCTTTAAGTGAGTCCAAAATGTGGCTCACCACCGGCGCTGGATAAGAGTGCTGCTGTAACACTTTGTTTAGCATGCATTTATAGTCGGCACAAATGCGGACTTTCCCGTTGGCCTTGAGTGGCGTGACTATGGGTGTTTCCCATGGACTGCTATCCACAGGTTCCAAAATACCTTGCTGTAGCAGTTTATCCAGCTCGGCATTAATCTTTTGCTTAAGCGCAAAAGGCACCCGATGAGGCTTAATCCTAATCGGTGCAATGGAGGGATCTAACTGCAAAGCAATGGGAGGCCCCTTGTACAACCCAAGCTCTGGGCTGAACACATCAGCAAACTCCTTGCAAACTTCCGCAAGGCCTGCCATTTGCAAGCTGTGTAGTCCAGTCACTTGAATCCCAAGTGCCTCGAACCAGTTGATTAGACTTATGTGGTCACCCTCAGCCATGATGATGTCCAAAAACCCCTTGAAATGCTCACGCTGCACTATGACCATGGCCTCCCCTTTCACACTGACTCAGGAATTCTGAAAGTCAGTTAAGATAAGATCCGACAGCCTGAGTTTAATTCTCTGGCCGCTCCTATAGCACATCTGCTTGAGGGTTTCCTGGGAAATGATTGACAGAGCTGAACCCGTGTCCAGCTCCATCATCAAGGGGACCCCATGCATTTGACATCAAGACGCAGCTTCTTTTTTAATGGCTGGTGAGCCCCTGTTCTCAAAATGCTCCTGTGGGACGCGCAGAAGCCCACCCTGTTTTGGCTAGGGACCCTGATACCTGTCCGAAGCAATTCTTCTGATGGACAGTTTTTCTTGCAACCCAAACAGATGGTGGCTATGTGGCCTTGCCGGCCACACGCCCTGTAAGTAGCAGACCAAAAATGGCAGTCAGAGCACCTGTGGCATCCTCCACATCCGAAACACTGAGGGAATAGAACTGCCTTGTCAGACCTCTTGTTAGCTTGCTCTTGGAGCCTTCTCTCTGCTGGCTGCTGCAGATGGTCGACCTCATTTTCGGAATCCAGTTCGAATACCTCTCGAGCAACCTCTTGATGGATGGAGCCTGAACTTGTAGGGTTCTTGGAAAGCTGCAAGGCCTTAACAGTTCCTCCCACTGCTTCATCAGCTGTGATCTCCCTTAGTGCATCTTGGAAGGAAACGTCTTCCTTCGCAAAAATCTTTTGTTGCAGCTCTCGGCTCCACAAACTAGCCGATCATGCAGCCATTCTTCTAAGTCTTTGAATTTACAGGGCCTTGCAGCTTGCCATAGAGCAGCAATAAAGTCCACAGCAGACTCTCCTGGATGTTGGTCCCACTGCTCAAATGCTTGATGCCATGCAATCACCGAAAGCTTTGGTTCAAAATCCTCTCTTAACATTTTCTTAAGTTCCGTATAAGCGATAAATTCCAATGGTGCTGGGGTGACCAGGTTCTCAGCAATATCAAATGTCTCTTGCCCACAGACACATAGTAACATTTTGACTTTGAGCCTGTCCTCCCGAACTTGGTTTACCCGAAAGTAGTTTTCTACTCGGGCAACATATGAACTCCAACATTCAGGGTGCGCTGTATCGAATTTGGACAGACGCCCAATCTTAGCCATCACTCCTCCTTGGTGGCCTCATCAACGCTTCATGCTGCTCTGGCTTGAGAACGGGTTCCAGAACGAATCTTGCCGATCTCTCTTCCAGCATTTTCGTACTGGCAGGCAGAGTCGCACAAGTCGGAACGCCGAACTTCCCAGCCCTTCGGCCTTCTGTGGTGAGTCAGCCTACTTTTCTCTGCAGCATGATCCCATTCTCGTCGCCAATGTTCTGTTCTGTGCATTGGTAAGGCATTGAGTAAAGGCAGGAGTAATAACAGTTGTTACTTTATTAAAGCTTCAACAGAACCTCAACACAACAACAAGATGACAATAAGGGTTATCTTATCTAAAAATTAGCCAAACATTTTCAGATCTGCCATCTCCAGTAATTATAAAGAACATAGGACAACATAACATATCGCACTGCCCTGCATAAGATCAAACTTGCTCAGCTATGTATTAAGAGATCAAATCTTTAAAATGCATTACTGGCTCAAATTGCTGTTGTCCAAATATTTTTGACAGGAATTCCTATGAATATGAATCCCTAACCAGATTTAAAATCCAAGACACTTCAGAGGGCTTCCTTTGACTAGTTCTGAAGAGGAGGAATAGTAATAAATTTATATGGCTTTCAATACAACTGTGTAACACTTTGGATTTCATTTTGAATAGGAGTTTCAGAGGACCTAGAATAGCCAGGTGATTCTGGGAAAAGATGTGACTGCTTTAAGATGTTGTGAATAGGGACTAAATTCATACTCCTGAATGCCCCAAAGCTGCTTTTGGGAGACTGAGTTCAAACTGTTGGCCAACCCTAGCTGTCATCCAGTTAAGGAAAGAATAGGGTTCATTTAGAAGACAATAGTAAACATAGAATGTAGAACATACATAGTTTTAAAAAATGATCAACATAGATGCAGCTGTATTTACCATCTTAGAAGCAGTATTTTTCTTTCTCCAACAATGCATCAAATCTCATTTACATTTTTTAATTAAAATATTGGGTCACCTTTATGGTTCTTCAGATGATATTTGATCATTTTTTGTGCAAGAGGATGTGATTAGAAACAATTACAAGTAGTCAGTAGTAAAGTAATGAGTATCAATAGTAGTTTCCCCCACAATGGCACAGCGATACCATTGATTGGTTTTTTGAGGCAGCAAAGGAAATATTGTTATCTTGCATGGATGTGCTTATGTTTTGCAGGACAGTTAACATCCTGTTATTTGTTAATGTTAAATATGATTAGCTTTTGAGGAGAGGGGGACTTAGTGTATGATGCAAATCCAGTCCCATTTTACTGTGTTATCAATCAATATATTGCATTAACCCCAAAACTGTATTTGATGAACAAGCAATTACTGACGATTCTCAGGCTAAAGTTGAGATGTTTAGTTAAAGGAATACTTTGCTGCAAGGAAATTTGCATTTCAATTTCTCAAATCTGAATGAAGCAGCCTTCCTATAAACATCTGATAACATACATCTTTCTCTTTCTAGGGTGATTCTGGAGGACCTATGGTTTGCAAGTGTAATGGAAGTGAAAATTGGCTCTTGACTGGGATTGTGAGCTGGGGATTAGGCTGTGGCGTAGCCAATGTGCCTGGTGTCTACACTTCAGTAGCACACTATTCTGATTGGATCCAGTTGCACTTACCCCACATAAAATTTTCAGAGTGCTCAAATGGAAGTAATAGTATAGGGCATAACACCCTTGTCATGCTTTTTCTGATATCCATGGGATTGACTGTCTTTTGAGACACTTAGACATCCCTCCTTCAGCCTATCAATGTCCCTGGTATGAGTTCTTTTTACACAAAATACTGCTGATAGGAATTGCATACTACCAAATTCAGAGGTAGTTTGAGACCTTTCCAAAAACTTTGATGGCCACTTATATGCTCGGGTTCCAATTTGAACCTTGTTTGACATCACTGATCTACAGGAGGCACCACTGTCAATAAAAATTCATAAAAGAAGAAGGCATTCCTACTTCGTGTCCTGATTTTGGACATCATCTCAATATCTGATTGGCTGCTAGAGTGAGAACCTTTGTCCAACTGTACCATCCAACTTGGCACTGACTTCCTGGTTGGAAGAAGATTTATGAAGTCTCCAGAAGGATGCTTCCTGGCCCTGTTGAAGAGACCAAAGTGCAGAATTATTCTATCACTCAACTAAAAATTAAAATCTCCAACTGTTCTTTTACTAAGTGAAGTTTTCGGAAAGGAATGATTGTGCTAGAGCTACTGCTGTCAGAAGCCACTGGATTTAACCGGAATCAACTTACTGTAAAATTTGTAATCTATAATTTTCTTTAATTATAGTACTTAATTTCCATCCCTTTCTTTCCTTTAACTTATTTTAATAGGTGATTTTGTTTGTTATTGTATTACTACTGGAAATTTTTCCTTATATGTTATTTTATGCTGCTGGTGGTACAGAATAAATCTATCTTTGTAAAATTTCACTCTGATGTATCATAACAATAAAAGCAATGTTTACTATTTATAAACCCTTTGAGAGATTTAATTCAAATGATTAAAAGGTCTGTGACCAGACCAATTAATAAATTCAGCATGTAGGGTACTTTATAATGAGCAGCTGTTTAATTCCCATCAATATATTGGATGTGGCAACTGAAATAATTATTCTGTTCTTTCTTACATCCATTGCTATTTGTTTGGTTTTTGCAAAAACAGAGCACTATATTTTCACTGCTATTTATAATTTTATGGTCTAACGTTCACATTTTTTTTCTATGACTGTGCAATCACACATGGTATTGAATAAATATCTAAAATTGTTAAAAGATGCCCAAACATACTCAGGACTTTTTAGGTTTGAGCATGCACTTATTTTTATTGGAAGTCTAATTGGCATTGTTATTCAGGGGTTTTAGTATCTCTTGAATAAATACTTTATTTGGGGAAATTATTCATTGTTCCTTGGTATTTAGATGCAAAATGTAAATTCTGCATTATAAAGAAGTTATAAAGAAGAGATTGCCCATGAAAAGGAAAGCAGTTAAAACAGTTCTATTTTCCAAATAGTTTTCAAGAACCTAAATTATGGCTTAGGCTGCAGACATCTGTGAATTTATCTTATCAGAATGGTTGCTGGATCAAGCCAAAAGCTCTCTTAGATCAGGAAATAATAATCATCATCAACAACAACAACAAGGATGCGACTTGGTTAAAAGAGATGAATGCAAATAAAACAGAAGTTGAAATGAAAGAACTAGTAATAACAACAAAAATGATAGAAAAAAGAGCAAGGAAAATCAAAAATTGGTCAGCACCAGGTGAAGATGAACTGCATGGGTTTTGGTTGAAACATCTAACTGTTATACACCCACTCATTGCCAAGCAGTTCAACAATATACTACAAGGAGGAGAAATTGAAAAGTGGCTAACAACTGGGAAAACCTACCTAATAATGAAAAATCCAGCAAAAGGCAACTATAGGCCAAAAATCCACCAGGCAACTATAGGCCAATTACCTGCTTACCAATAACTTTCAAATTACTAACTGGTGTGGTAGCTGATGCAGTACAACAGCATCTAGTTGAAAACAATCTCTTTCCACCTGAGCAGAAAGGAAACCGCCCCAATAGCAGAGGAACAAAAGATCAACTACTAATAGACAAAATGATCTTGGAAAACTGCAAGAGAAGGAAGACCAACCTGAATGTGGCATGGATTGACTACAAAAAGGCATTTGACTCTCTGCCACATGACTGGATAATCAAGTGCCTAGAAATAACAGGAATCAGTAGAAACATCAGAAAATTGTGCAAAGATCGATGGCACAATGAAAGACACAGTTGCAGATCAATGGTGAGAGACTGGGAGAGGTTAATATCAAGAGAGAAATATTTCAAGGAGATTCATTGTCACCATTACTATTCGTTATTGCACTGTTTCCTTTCTCAACAATACTGAATAACTCAGGACATGGCTATCAAACATCAAAAACATCTACCAGACTATCCCATCTCCTTTACATGGATGATCTGACGCTATATGGGAAAACATCATCTGAAATAGAATCGCTGCTCAACACTGTCCGTATATATAGCCAAGATATTGTTATGGAGTTTGGCTTGGACAAATGTGCCACACTTACTATCAAACAAGGAAAAGTAGTGAAAACTTAAGGAATCAAGATGCCCCACGAAAATAACATTAAGAGTCTGGATGAGGAAGATTACTACAAATACTTGGGTATCCTTCAAGCTGACAACATCAAGCACACTGTAGTCAAGAAAAAGATTAGAGGTGAATACATCAAGAGAGTGAAGAAGATCTTAAAGTCCAAACTCAATGGAGGAAATACCATAAAGGCAATCAACACCTGGGCAATTCCAGCCATTAGATACACAGCTGGAATAGTGGACTGGACTCAAGCAGAACTAAAAGCAATGGATAGGAAGACCAGAAAAATAATGACAATGAATCATGCCCTTCATCCATGCAGTGACATTGACAGACTTTATCTACCAAGCCAAATAGGTGGGCATGGAATGCTACAAGTACATCAGATGGTTGAAGAAGAAAAAATGGCTTTGGAAGAATATCTGAAGAACAATGATGAAGATGCACTGAAATGGTGCATTGGAAGATTTGCAAAAAATATCATTTGCCTGTAAGCAAAAACTGGTGGGATCATAAAATAGAGAAAGTCATAGAAAATGATAAAATTAAACTGCTCTGGGACTTCAGAATTCAAACAGACAAGCATTTGCAACATAACACCCCAGACTTAACAATTGTCGATAAGAAAGACAAAAAAGTCTGGATAGTGGATGTGGCAGTGCCTGGAGATAGCAGAATAGAAGAGAAAGAACTGGAGAAGATAACAAAATACAAAGACCTACAAATAGAAATAGAAAGACTGTGGCAAAAGCAAGCAAGGGTAGTACCAATAGTAATAGGCTCCTTGGGTGCAATCCCAAAACAACTGGTGCACCACTTGAACACCATTGGCATTGACAAATTCGCTATTAGTCAATTGCAAAAGGCGGCCTTACTAGGAACTGCTTCCATCCTGTGACGATATCTGTAATACCATCAAACATCCACATCTGCCCAGGTCCTGAGTAAGGACTCGATAGGTAGACAAAATGCCAAATCTAGTCTGAACATCTGGCTGACTGTGCGATGATCCATAATAATAATAATAATAAAGTTGGAAGGGACCTTGGAGGTATTCTAGTCCTACTCCCTGCTTGAGCAGGAGACCCTATACCATTTCAGATGAACGGCTGTCCAGTCTCTTCGTAAAAACCTCCAATCATGGAGCACCCACAACTTCTGAAGGCAAGCCATTCCAATGGTTAATTGTTCTCACCATTAGGAAATTTCTCCTTAGTTCTAGGTTGCTTTTCTCCTTGATTATTTTCCATCATTGTTTCTTGCCTTCTGGTGTTTTAGAAAATAAATTGACTCCCCTCTTCTTTCTGACATCCCCTCAAATATTGGAGCATTGCTATCATGTCTCCCCTAGTTCTTTTTTTCACGAGACTAGACATACCCATTCCAGGGCCCCCTTACAGCCCTATGATTCTTGTAGTCTGCTGATGGAGGTTAATATGTGTTCCTGCTTGGTAACAATGGCCAAAAGCTGAAGCTAAACCAATTGGATGCACTTTTTTCAATGCACTTTTTTCAATGCCTTGTTTGCTTTATGTTTATCTTTGTTTTTTTTATTCTTGGTGTTTTGTATTTTAATTTTTTTTTCAAATAAAAGTTTAAAAAAGCTTTTATTCATAAACATAGAAATGGAATCAAAGGAATGGATGGGAACTTGGAGGTTTTCTAATCCAACCTCCTTCCCAAGGCAGGAGATCTTATATCATCTCAGACAAGGTCTCCTTCCTCAGACAAGGCAGGGGATTGGACCAGAAGATTTCCAGGGCCCCCTTCCAGCCCTATGATTCTATGTCTTTGTTCCAGTCAGCTATTAGGAAATGAAAGTTAATGTTCTTCAGTATATACATTGCTTACATTTCCTATTGAATGAACAAATGTTGCACTTTCTTGTGCAGGTTATATAATGAAGTAGCAGGAATTTCTAAGAAAACTGGTTTAATATGAGCAAATAGTCTGCTTCCTGCTTGGTAACAATGGCCAAAAGCTGAAGCTAAACCAATTATGAGAACAATGAATGAGAACAATTGGTTGCTCCACTGTGGTGTTCCACAAGATTTGGTCATCTCTCCCATTTAATATGTATTAGGAAAACACTGGGACAGATATCCAAAGGTCTGGAGCTATCATCAGTACATGATGATACTTGATTATATATTTCCATCCCAAGCCAAGCCAGAGATTGTGAGGAAAATTTTAACCTGTGCCTGGATGCCATGAAAAGGACATAGAACTAGGCATTAGGCTTATTTGTATTAATTAAATCTTTACTCCTGCTGTTCTTTTTATCTTGGGTGCCTATCAATACAATTATATGATAAATCAGTGGGTGTAAATCAGAGGTTTGAGTGTCTTCCCTCTTCACCCTGCTGGGCTGGTAACCAGAAATTACAGGCTTCACCTTTGCTGCTTTTTTCTCATAATTCAAGGACTCATATTCCTTAGTTACATCAACCATCATATGGGGGAGGGACCCAGGCTAGATAAAGAAGGATAAGCAACAATGTACTTCTGTCCCATAATGTTCATAACATAGTTCGGGGGGGGGGGGATGTTGATTTTTAGTTTTACTGATTTTGTTGCTGAATGTTATAACAGACTATTATTTGTACCAATAATACATAAAAAAGCATGAGCAAACAACTACAGGTATTCCTAATTTAATTACTGCCTTGGACAGTGATTGTTTGCAGTTACAACAGTGATGAAAAAGTAACTTGTGATCGATGTCTACATTTATGACCTTTTCAGCATCTCTCTCTGTCACATGTTCACCATTACATACAGTTAATACATGTTGTCCAACCCACTTCTTTTCTTTTTCTATCCCTCACAGAGGAAAAATAGTCTTGAACAAAAAATGTCTTCCTGAGTTGCTTTGCTCCACAGCATAGCAGCTCCCTAAAAAGTGCTAACTGCATGTTAACAAGCTCAGTAATTCAATCTTAATTAGCCAGCTGACAATCAATTTTTGCTTGCTTTCTAAGCAGCTTGTAGCAGATGCACTAGACAAACAGCTGGTGCTAGCACATTCCTTTCTATGTGTATTCCTAATTGTATACCTGCTTACTCTATTATAACCCATTCCTCACCAATGAATGTAAATTTAAAAAATCAATTCACTTCTTACTAGTTATCCCAAGATTTGCATGAGCATTCCAAAGGGAGTGAGATGGGGAAAAGGCTACAAGATTTGATTTTTTAGCCGACTTCCATATGAGTTACATTCTAGAAAATGTCTCTGCTGTTTGTGCTCACCCAAAAATTTGAGGCCACATAATTCTGATTCTGCAAATCAAAGGAAAGCTGAAGTAAAATCCTAAGCACAGTCACAGTTATGTGTCTCTTGGCTTAGCAACCATTTTGCTTAATCACCATGTTGCTGGTCCCAATTGTGGTTGTTAAATGAGGACTAGCTATACCATCCAGGTTTAATGCTTGTTTCATCCAGTATGTGATATATTTATTTTTTTATTTATGAAATTTATTTGCTGTCCATCTCATATCCAACAATTTTGGGAGGCTTACAGCATAAAAACATTAAAGCATTAAATTTTAATTAGTCAATCACCTCCAATAAGAAGCTCGCCCAAGCTTTTTTCATATACCCATATGAAAAAAATAATAATTACCTCCAAGTGATTACATTATCTGCAGTCAAACCCAGTGAAGCTGGTGACCAGTCTCTCTCATCCCTTAAGAAATGTTGTCTATTCCTCCATGACAACCTGCTTCAACTCACTAACATTCAAGGATTTTCTAGCATGAACTAGTTGATTCAAGTCCTGTCACATTTCTATAGCACTGAGGTTTGCCCTTGAACTGGTCATTCTAAAACATTGACTTTATTCCTCTTCATGTCTTCTCTTGTAGGTTCTTAGAATACGGTGCAGTGCACTGCAGTTTTCCTCAGAAATCCTTATTTTTGATGAAGCATGATTTGAAAACCAGCCATTAACACACCCCAATCAACATCTAAAAAGCTACTTAAAACAGGCACTATAAATATCACAAACAGAACAGCACAAACTCTGCTAGAGAGAAGATCCCTAAAGATGGGCTCCAGTACAAGTCTGGGAACTCAGAAGAATAAAGCTCTGATCCTGGTGATCAACCCAGATTGGATCCTACAACATTATCCTGGGACAAGTATATTCACCTTTTTTGTGAGAAATAATTATATCCATGTAGCCCCAAAAGTTCTTTTAACTCATTGATCTATGAAACATTTCTCCTTCGACCAGAGTGTTTAACCAGATTGTCCACTCAGATTCTCATTATTGTCGTTTGGATATTTGAACTTATTTTGACCTCACATTTCATTGTTTTACTCAAACCTGCAAGACAGTGCAGGAATAGAGGAGTGCTAAATAAATCTCTATCTCTAATTTGGTATTTTCAACCAGAAATTAACAGGTTACTTGCAACTGAACACTTGCAACTGATTTCTGCTCCCCCTAATTGTGCTCTTAAAATCAGGTCAAGTCATCACCTCAGAAACACTGTTAGAGGGAACATTTTCTCTCTATTATAAAGTTATTGGTGTTATGTACCTGGAGGGAGAGAAGTTAATAGGCCTGTCTCATAAAGAAAAGGACCCCAGTTTGAAGAAAAACAGTGTACCTGCAATAAGTCTTCCTTGATTCTGAGTACTCTAAGAGTTTGGGAATAAAAATTATATTTTAAAAAGGATGACTTTTTTAACATGTATTTTAATTTTATTCAAGACAAAGTTAAAATATAAAATACAAAACTCCCAAAAAAATCCCAAAAAGAACAAAAACACAAAACAATCAAAACATTAAAAAGGTGGATCAAAAAAAAGAGCAACGCATGTATACATATTATGGACCCTAGTTGAATACTGATTAATACATTATGACATTAGTTCCCACCCCATGCGAAACAAGCTCTCCCAAATTTTTTAAACACAACATCTTAGAAAGTTTATCACAACATCTTATATATCCAAAATCATCCGATTCAGTCTAAGGGTGACTTTTCTAAATGAAGATTGGGAAACATCTCCTTCAACTCACAAAGCAATATCTGCATAAAGTCATGTTCTCAGAGCCATGAACTCTTCCTGGGCCATTTGTTAGTCAGATCAATATGATTTCACAGGTTTATGATAGTTTAATAACTGAAATTCCAGCAGAACTGGAAGCCATGTGTATTTGACAAGACCAAGGAAGCAACTAATAGAGAGAATCTATCTTTGTGATCACTGACTTAATGGTACATCATCATCATCATCAGTGCCAAATAGAAAGGAAAAGACAACAGAGTGGAGACAACAGATCTGAGAGCTAAATCCTTGAGCTACCACCAACATCATTCATTGAACCTGGTGACCAGAGAGATGCATTAGTTTCAAGTGAAGTACACACCCCACCACCACCAAAGTTGAGTCATACAAAAGACACTGCAAACAATGAAAAAGGAGGATATATAGACCAACATGTAACATAAACTGTTGGTTGCTCACAATAAAATATTAATAGTGGCTGTGATTGATATTTACCCATCTTTTATGGAAGTGCTATTTTTACATGGTAAAACATCTAAGCAGAGCCATCAAATGGATTTTCCCCAGAAAAATAATCATTTTACACTTTCATTCAGGTGTGGTATTTTACTGGCAGCTGGCCAACTTCTAAAGAAGAAATACTGAATTAATCTTAAGATACAGAGTTCTCATGGATGTGAAAGTTGGACCATAAGAAAGGCTGAGCGCCAAAGAATTGAGGCCTTTGAAGACTCCCACGAATCCCTTGGACTGCAAGGCATTCAAACCGGTCAGTCCTAGAAGAGATCAATCCCAACTGCTCTTTAGAAGGCCAGATCCTGAAGTTGAAACTCAAATACTTTGGCCACCTAATGAGAAGGAAGGACTCACTGGAGAAGGGCCTGATGCTGGGAAAGATTGAGGGCAATAGAAGAAGGGGATGACAGAGAATGAGGTGGCTGGATGGAGTCACTGAAGCAGTAGGCGTGAACCTAAATGGACTCCAGAAGATGGTAGAGGACAGGAAGACCTGGAGGAATGTTGTCCATGGGGTTGTGATGGGTCGGACATGACTTCGCAATTAACAACAACATAGAGTTCTCATTTAGCATCCTCAAAAACTCTTAGCAACAGGAAACTACCAAGATACCAAAATCTGGAAAAAGCAGAAGAAAAGGGAACTCTGCCAGAATGACTGCTGGTAATACTAGGATTGGGGCAGTTGGGAGGAGATAGGGGAGATCACAAAGGAGGGTGGGCAAATGTGTTGGTTTGGGAATTTCTAAAGCCGAGAGACTTCCGGGAATGAGAACTTCTTGGTTGCATTTTCCAATTCAGGAAGGAGAAAATGTCCTATGCCCCTCCCTTTCACCTTTGGTATTAAAGTTTGTGGCACAGATACCAAGACTGGAGTGAAGCAGCTTGATCTGAAACTGCCTGGAGCACAACTACTCAAGCAACATATTGAAAGAAAAGTTGCAAAGAATGGCAACCATGGGCTTTCCCTCCATCTTGCTGGGACTCGGTCTACTGTACTTGTCTGCAGCACAAGGTGAATGATGGGGAGGGCTGGGTGTACAATGTTTAACCTCTCTTCTTCCAAATTCTTCTGGTATGTCTTCTTGGTAGCTCCCATGAAAGCTGGAAATCAGTTCCACAAGCTGAATGGGCCTATCATTGAGATCTTTACAAATGGTGTTACAAACTAAGGTGAGCAAAGAAATCTCTTATTATTTTAATCTGGCACTTTAGGAATGCTGTTGGTCTGCAGCCTTCAAGCTTGTTAATTAAATATTCCCTTCATCTTGTAAGTTTCTAGATTGTTGGGGGGGCTCTCATCTTTTTGGATTGCATGTTCTCCACTGCTTGCTTTTGCCTTCTCTGAAAAGAGATTGTGCATTCCATCAGGCCAATATCATAAAGAAGAAAACATGAGGTTGAGATATGTAGACACACAGGCAAGCAATATATAACAGAATATTAGGGTTGGAAGGGATCATGGAGGTCTTCTAGTCCAACCCCCTGCTCAGACAGGAAACCTTAGACTATTTCAGACAAATGATTGTCCAATCTCTTCTTAAAAACCTCCAGTGTTTTTAGGAGCATCCACAACTTCCACAGGCAAGTCATTCAAATGATTAATTGTTCTAACAGTCAGGAAATTTCTCCTTAGTTCTAGGTTGCTTCTCTCCTTGATTAATTTCCATCCATAAGCAGGTGCACTTGCTTTCAGGTGCTTTGGAGAACGCCAACCCCTATGTTTTCAGTTTGACTGAGTTTAAAATCTCTCAGGCCAGATAACTGCAAAGTATTATAAATAGGTATTAAAGAAGATTATTATCTTCTTTAATATTATCCTGGAAATCAAGAGAAAGGCAAATATTGTCCCTATGTTCAAAATTGTGGGGAGAACAGGGTCCATGAAGCACCTAACATCAGACTGACATTAATACCTGAACCAGTTCACAAAATATTTTATTTCCAATCCAGTGATTACTGGATACCGGCAGGAGTTTGTCAAAAATAAGTCTTATTAAACTAACCTCTTTTTTTTAATTGGATAAGTTCCTTAGTAGATTTTGGGAATGCAGTAGAAATAGACTGTTGGACAGGGGCCATTCAGAAAGGATTCTGCAAGCGATCTTTTGCCAAAAGTATCATTAGAAATTCTATTTCTCACTGCAAACATAGATATCAAAAATGATGATCACTTACCGGACATGTCAAAGAGAATGGCTGTATATTATTAATGGATTATAAAATGAAAAGAGCCAGTAGTGGTTAAGGCACCAGTCTAGAAACTGGGAGACCATGATCTCTAAATTTATGCATTGTCACAACTGGGGGGGAAGCATTTAAAGAAGAAATCGTTTTTCAACTAATAATCAGCATGGACAGAAGAGCAACAAAAAGGAAAAAATGCAAAGCTCTCAATGAAGGTAATAGCACTAAAGGAGAAGCAGCAATCACTGTAGAACTGGTATTCAATGGGAAATAGTATTTGAGCAGTATTGGAGGAATATCCTGGACACCCTTTGGAGGATAGGGATAGGATAGCATGCACGCTGTGATCTTTTGGGGTAAGAACAAGTTTAATATATGCTCTGCATAAATCCTACCAATAATCTGAGATAATATATGCTTTGGGTAAACCATGTGGGGGATACTGGCAGGTCCACTTTTGTGGAGTTGGGAGTTCAATAAAAGGAGGGAGAACAAAAAAGCGGCCTGAAAATCCAGCATTTGTACAATCATAATTTGTACGATCAGGCAGGGGAAGGAAGAAAAGGAGAAGGAGAAAGAAGGAAAAGAGAAAGGGATTAACAACCCAGCCTTTATCTAAAAGGTATCAGGTAGGGAGGAATGAAGAATGTTGTAACTTTCCATCCAGTCTGCTGGGTGGAATTGGTGGTAGACAGAACCTCCTGAAGTTCATGAAATGATAGAAAGGAAGGCAGAGATCCCCACCATTAGCTTCTTACTGACACTATTCATCTTCCTGTTTTGCTCAGGAAAATGTTGTCCTTCCTGAAACAACCATTCTAACGCTGACAAGTCAAACCAGTTCAGAGGATAGTCACTAGTGTATTGCTCCTTTGCTCTGGACCAACTTTGGTGAAGCCAGTTGGTTTTTCCAGAGTGTGAAACCCAACCCACAAGAGGCAGCTAGCACAATCTAGGAATGCTCTGTATTGGCACTAGTAACCCGCCACTAGATAGATCCCAAAAGATTCGGAGATCTAAGGATGATAGGTTAGTGCCAGGGCAATTTTATTGCAAAAAGGATTGTATTAAATAAAATACAAGTAGTCCTCTCTTAATTACTTCAGTTGGGATTAGAATTTCCATCATAACTAATGAGGTCATAAAATGCAATATCATATGACTGCATTGCTTTGTGATAACAGTTCTGGCACTTCTTAATGGCCATCATTGTCAATCCCATGCTGTCATTAAGCAACAGCATCATGAAGTCTCCATTTGAAATCTCCTGCCAGCTTGACAAATTAGTGGACCAGAGGAATGCTGTGGATATAATTTACTTGGACTTCAGTAAGGCATTTTTCTCCTGCCAGCTTCACAGGTCTCCTCTGATTTTTTTTCAGTTATCCTATTCTGTAGCATCCACATTCTTCTCTTTACTGAAATGAAGAGAAAATTCTATTTTCTTATACCAGTGTTGATTTATACAAACTAAAAGCATTCCAGAGCCACATGGGTGTGGTTACCCTAGATCAGCGGTGTCAAACTGCCGGCCCATGGGCCGGTTGCATCATATGGAGGCTGCACCCACCCCAGCTCGGCAATGCAAAAAAAAGTTGTGATACGTTGCAACACATCACATGACGCAGCAGGTTTGACATCCATGCCCTCGATAAAAGGGAAATTGCAGCCATTTACCTAAACTCCCAGTTTGGGAGAGAGAGAGAAGGAAGGGTTTTCTCCCTGTCCCATTCAGATTCCAAAGATGTGATGGCAGTTGAACTATTAGTCCTAGTTGTGGCAGGCTTATGGTATATATTTGCATCAGACACCTTGCTACAATAGCTTGTAGCTCAAAAACTTCCTTGTACAAGCTGAAAAATTGTGGCTATCTATACCAGTGTTTCCCAAACTTGACAATTTTAAGGCATGTGGACTTCAACTCCCAGAATTCCACAGCCAGAGTTGAAGTCCACATGCCTTAAAATTGTCAAGTTTGGGAAACACTGATCTATACAATGAAAAAATGCTCCTGTTTGTCTGTGTGAAACTTTTCACTAGGCAAAACAGTACATGGTAGGGCAACAGTTTTTGAACCATGTCCAAAATCTGAGACCCATGATTTCTGCAGAATTGAAATTTGGCAAATTCTGTAAAACATTTGAATGACATAAAAATTATTATTAAACTTTTTATGACGTAATAAAAATGTAATCAAACATTTCTTGTTTCCTGAACTTTGACTGGCTTATACAGTTTAACATAGGCTACTTTCAAGGCAGCTACATCTCTGAGTATCGCCCTGAATTTTCAAGAACCTTTTCAGTATATTAGTAGCTGTGCTATTGTTGAAGGCATTAAGGAATCTGGGAAAGAAATATCACTGAAATAATGACTCAATGGATCACAAATTGCCTAGTCCCAACTAAAACCAAAATATGATCCTGGAGTGCATTGCCCTATCTCTCCCCTCATAGCATGTCCTACCAGCCCAAAAAACAGAAATTCACTAAATATAGTGTGCACAGTCACCCTATAATTTAAGATATCAAAATTAACAAAAGTTGATGAGACCGCAACACCTCTTGAGATCTTCAGTGATCATGCATGGAATTTCACAATATAGACAATCAGGAATTTTATAGAAAATCTCTTAAGATCCTACATGAGAATGCAAAAATCTTCTAAGATCTCACAAGAGAAGGACAAAGTTGTCCAAAAGCCAGAAAATAATAGCTATTGGGAATCAAGTTCAAATATTAATTTATATAGACGTAAGATCTATTTCCATGTCAAACTAAGTGTAACATGCAATCAGCCCAATTATTCCAAAAGCACTGTCCAATCTTCACTTGAGATGATGTCTCTAGAGCAGGGGTATCAAACTTGCAACATCACATGACGTGTCGTGACGTAGCGTGACTTTTTTCATTGCCAGCAATGGGGTGGGTGCAGTTTCAGCATGACACATCCAGCCTGTGGGCCAGCAGTTTCACCCCCCTGCTCTAAACCTATCTAATAAACAATATTCCCAAGGAAGCCTCAAGCCTGCCTTAATGAGCATTTTACTTCTTAGTTAAAGTGATAGATTAGTTAGCCATATACTAACTTTTATATTTTTATGTATTTAACCTTGTGTATTTTACAGTTTTAGCTTTTAAAATTACTAATAGTTTGTATTTCACTTAATAAAAGTTTGATTGACTCACTTTGATTGACTCATTCCAGTTGCACTGCCTGTCAAAATGTTCTAAATTATCTCAATTGCCCCATTTTTCTCCTTTGGGGAAGGCATAAATCAGCTGAGTAAAAACAATATAGTAAATAAATGAACTAAGGCTTGCAACAAAAGTCAAAAATAACAGAAAAAGCTTCTTTCAACATGTAAAAAAACAAGAAAAAAGTTAAGGAAATGATTGGTCCATTAGTGGGAGAAAGTGGCAAGAAGAAACAGAGAGAAAGTAGAACTACTCAACTCGTTTTTTCATTCCATATTTACACAAAGGGAAAAAACAGTCCAACCTATCAAAAAACAGTACTGTGAAAAACAGATTAGAAACACAAGTTAAGATAGGCAAGAAAATGGTAAGTGAGCACCTGTCCGTTCTAGCTGAGTTCAAATCACCAGGACCCGATGGACTACACCCCAAGGTTCTGAAGGAACTGGCAGATGTGATCTCAGAACCACTGAACTATATATTTCAAAGATCCTGGAGCACTGGGCAACTACCAGAGGACTGAAAAAGAGGTGATGTAGTTCCCATATTCAAAACCAGAAAAAAAATGGATCCAGGAAATTACAGACCAATCAGCCTGACCTCAATACCTGGGAAGATCTTGGAAAAGACAATCAAGCAATGAATCAGCAAATACCTAGAGGCAAACAAAGTCATTACCAAAAGCCAACATGGATTTGTCAAAAACAGATCATGCCAGACAAATCTTATTGCATTCTTTGACCAGATGACAAAATTAGTGGACCAGAGGAATGCTGTGGATATAATTTACTTGGACTTCAGTAAGGCATTTTATAAAGTAGACCACAACCTACTACTTGATAAAATAGAAAAATGTGGGTTAGACAGCATCACCACCAGATGGATTTGTAGCTGGCTGACCAGCCGTACTCAGCATGTAGTCATCAATGGAACCGCATCTAAATGGAGGGAAGTGTATAGTGGGGTGCCCCAGGGCTCTGTTCTGGGCCCAGTGCTCTTCAACATCTTCATCAACAATTTGGACGAAGGGATAGATGGGGAACTCATCAAATTTGCAGATGACACCAAGCTGGCAGGAATAGCCAACACTCCAGAAGACAGGCTTAAGATACAGAAGGATCTGGAAAGACTTGAACACTGGGCACTATCTAATAAAATGAAATTCAGTGATGAAAAAAATAAGGTTCTACATTTAGGCAAGAAAAACCAAATGCACAGATATAGTATAGGTGGTACCTTGCTCAATAGTAGCAACTATGAGATGGACCTTGGAGTCCTAGTGGACAATCATTAAATATGAGCCAGCAGTGTGCTGCAGCTGCCAAAAGGCCAACATAGTGCTGGGCTCATTAAAAGAGGGATAGAATCAAGATCACGTGAAGTATTAATACCACTTTACAATGCCTTGGTAAGGCCATACCTGGAATACTGCATCCAGTTTTGGTCACAACGACGTAAAAAAAGATGTTGAGACTCTAGAAAGAGTACAAAGAGCAACAAAGATGATTAGGGGACTGGAGGCTAAAACATATAAGGAATGGTTGCTGGAATTGGGTATGTCTAGTTTAACGAAGAGAAGGATGAGGCTGGACATGATAGCAGTGTTCCAATATCTCAGGGGCTGCCACAAAGAAGAGGGAGTCAAGCTATTCTCTAATACACCTGCAGGCAGGACAAGAAGCAATGAATGGAAACCAACCAAAGAGACAAGCAACTTAGAACTAAAGAGAATTTTTCTGATAGTTAGAACAATTAATCAGTGGAACAACCTGCCTCCAGCTGTGAATGCTCCAACACTGGAAGTTTTTAAGAAGAGACTGGACAGCCATTTGTCTGAAATGGTATAGGGTTTCCTGCTGAGCAGGGGGTTGGACTAGATGACCTCCAAAGTCCCTTCCAACATCATTATCATCATCATCATCATCATCATCATCATCATCATTATTATTATTATTATTATTATTATTATTATTATTATTATTATTATTATTTTAACTGGAATACCTGCAGGGAAGCTCTAGGGATCCTGATTACTATATATCATTTTTCTTTGGGGAAAGTTGAGGAAGCTGAAAAAATAATGTTGGCAGATATATTAACTGAGAAACTTGTCAGACAGAAAGACTGGTAAGATGGAAAGAAAGTTCAGAAGAACAAGCTCACTAGAGTCCTAAATAAGCTCATGGGTTTGAGGTTTTCCATCCCGTCCTAAATGCAGGAGGGATGACTATTTAAAGTGTCAGACGTTTGTGCACATACAGTATATTAACAACAATTTTAAATGTTGATTTCTGATGCACTGCTAAACTAGGATCAAATGCTTATCAATCTGTTTGGTGTGGGAAATCATTTATGGTGCTTGTGTTAACCAAGATTTTACAATAAGCAATAACATGTTTGTTTAATTACTTTAACAAGGCATATTATCTAAACAAAACTTTTATATTACATCAATCTGGTTCAGATGATGGATGTTTCATGAGTTATGTGACTCAAGATTATGAGATCCATTTTGCTGAACATTGCAAGGGGTCACTAAGAAGCCTCATGTTTCTTCTCTTCCCTGTACAGAATGTGGACAGCCTAGAAACGCACGAATTGTTGGAGGCCAGGATGCCACCCCAGGGAAATGGCCCTGGCAAGTGAGCATTCTCCGGAATCTGCAACCCATTTGTGGAGCCTCAATTATAAATGAACAATGGATACTATCAGCAGCTCATTGCTTCTATAAGTATGTATCAGATACTGTATGTTGTTGAAGGAAAAGTCTTCATCAGGGTCCAGTGGAAGCCGGGAATAAACAACATGGAGACTGCTTTAGAGAGAAGGTTGTAGTTTATTGAGGAGGAGAGCCAGACAAAAAGATGGCTCTGGAAGAAAAAGGAGGCAGAGAACATGTAGGGAATGGGTTTTTATACCCTCTGGGGCTCTTGAGATTGATTCCTGTTCCTGTTCAAGGCTTTGTATGTCCTGTGTCAAGTACTTTGACCTGAGTTTGAGTGTGCCCCTTTGGCATCTGTGGGTTAATCCTATTATGTCATATCTTAGAGTTTGGGTGGGGTATGTAGATTTTAATGGTCTTTGTCTTCCTAAACTTCTAGCTGGGGGGCCCCAACCTTCCTGAATGGATTATCACATCTGCATTTCTACAGAGCTGGTTTCTGCTTGGGGTAGGGAGACTTGGGGCTATTAAGAAAAACTGGGCATGCTTTTCTGCCTCTTTGAAGAAATATAATATTCTGCCCTTTTAATATTTCCTTCTGGGGGGGGGGATGACTTCCCACAATATGTTGCTAGGATTCTTCAAAAAAAGCTTCAGTTAAATTGCTAAATTGAACTAAAACTGCCCACCAGTGAGCTGCAGTTTCAGCAGCTGCAACTATTGGAAATATTTGCTGGGTGCAAACACCCAACTTAGGAACTGGTAATTGTGTCAAGACCAGCCATAACTTATTTTTACAGTGCTAAAGGAATGGTTGCAAGTTCAAGACTACCCCAAAAATGCTTTTTCAAAAGACAACTGGACTTTGTTTTTTCTTGAAGATGTTTCTTTCTTCAGAAGTGTCTTAGATGAGAAGCGAAACATCTTTAGGGGGGGAAACAAAGTCCTGTTGCCTTTTGAAAAAGCACCTTTGGGATAACCATCACCTGGATGATTGAGAATCTCCATAGACAATGAGGACCACCCATATATAATATTTTTATAAGACTAGAAGGAATGCTTGATGATTTTGTTGCTGATAATGTAAAGTCTTAAAGTCAAATACAAGCATTTATTTATTTATACATCACTTTTATTATATTTATACAGTACATAGCTCAAGGGAATGAATGTATCTAGGTGAGTTGAGCTAAGAGAGAGTGACTGCCAGTCACCCAGTTGGCTTTTACACCTAAGGCATGACTGCAAAAAGTGAGGATTGTGAGGTCTTCTACTCCCAAAGGTGGTAAAAAAACCCTTTAAAGAATTACTAGGGGTAAAAGATTACATAACCTATAAGCCATCCTAGCAATATACAACCTTGAGGCATGATATTTTTTGACAGCTCAGTTAATAAGTTCGCATACCATAGTATTTGATTTTGGATTAACTTATTTATGTTTTTAGTGTATACAATTTGTATCTTTTATGATTGCAAGCCACCCAGAGCTACCCTGTGGTAAAATGGATGGCCAATAAATTTTATAAATAAATAAATAATAACCTTGGGGCTCTCTGATGTTTCTCATTCAAGTATTAACCAGGCTTTAGCCGGCTTAATCATCAAGCTCAAACAAAGTCAGCCAAATGTTATTATTTGCTATGGCATGCAAAGATCAGACCAGATTCAAAAGAGATAGTATGATAACGAGTAAAAAAAATATATTCAAACTTAGTTTAAATTTGATAAATTTCTATGGAGATTCTCAGTCATCCAAGTCATGGTTGTCCCAAAGGTGCCTTTTCAAAAGACAAGTAGACCTTCTTTGGGTTTTTCCTTGAACATGTTTCACTTCTCATCCAAGAGGCTTCTTCAGTTCAGTTCAGTTAAATTTGATAGTGTTAAGATAACCCATCTCACATTTAAAGTTTGTTAACTTTTTTTGAGGTTTGTAGGGGCTGCAACTAAGTTTTTAGATGCAACCCTGGGCTTTCACATGAGATTTAGATAGGATGACTATGATTGACCCTTGGCAAAAAGTAAGGAGCTGGCCCTTGATTAGCTGGCTTCTCCATTTGAGTGCAGTGTGACTTTTGTGAACAGTTCCTTAATTTGGAGGGCAAGCTTTTGTATAAGTCACAGATGGCTTCAAAAAGGAATAAGAAGCCAAAGAGCTTTCCCACCATCACTATCCACCCATTCTGTTTAGACCACATAATTTTCTGCAAAGAAAAATCACCCTTTTATGGCTACCAGATCTAGGCTGCAAACATCCAGAAGACTGCCAAAATCCCAAACTACATCTTTGCTGCTGTCTAATAACCACCCAGATGTGACGGATAGAGGACAGTGGCCCTAACATTTTAAATATTCATTTTCTTTCGCTTTCTTTCTGCCACAAAATTGGGCATTTTTCACAGATTCATTAAGCCCTTTCAGGAAAGGACTTGAGAACTGATTACAACTGCTGTAGGACAGAGAACTGATAAATAACACCTGGGTACATGTTCTCAAGAAAAAAAATGAGAGTTAGGAGAGAGACTCCAGTACCAGGAAATATTGTTTTGGGGTTTCAAATTCATTTGATTCTTTAGCAAGGTGTCCTTGGGAGGAGTAAGAAGGAAGTCAAACTGAAGACTGGCTCTTCCCCCAGTTGTTAGTTAAGCCCAATATAGGTGCAGTGGTGTTTGGAGTTGCCATAGTGCATTGATGGCGAACCTATGGCATGTGTGCCAGAGGCAGCACTTGGAGCCTTCTCTGTGGGCACACACATCATTGCCCCAGCCCCACCTTCCCCCACAGTCCCCTCCTCACCAGCAGCCCCCTGGAGGAGAGTCATCCCCAGGTGTGGCCTGTGTGGAGCAGTGCAGCCAAGGACATGGCAGCCAGGCAGCAGGGACAAGACTGCCCTCATGCCCTGTCATGTACAGATGATGCTCCGGGGCACAGGCAGAGGGTGTGGCCTCCATGGCATTGCAGGGCTGCCTGGGCAATCTGCAGTGGGCCGTGGAGGCAGTGGGTGGCCCTGTGAGTGGATGAGGGATAGGCAGAGCAGGGGTGGAGTGGGTGGGGTGGGGGTGGAGCAGGGGTGGGCCGGGGTGGAGCAGTTTTGGGGCACTTGGTCATTAAAAGGTTCACCATCACTGCCATAGTGCCTTGATTAATGTATTATGGGGTTTTTTAAAGTTTCTTCTGTATTTGTCTTTTGAGGTTTTTCTCATGTATATTTATGGATTGTTATTAGCCACCTAGCATCATTTAAGAGTGATGGCCATGTACATTTTCTAAATGAATAAATCAATGCTGAAACATATGATAACGATAATGTAAATTCCATCTCTTTTGTACTTATGTTAGAATATTACATGCAAGTTGCAATGGCAATGTAATCTGCCTTGTAACATTGCCATGCAGGTTGTGTCACAGCCTTTGACATCCTTTAAATTAATGTGCCCTTCATTTTTTTTCTTGCTTGTGATTGGCTTCTGATGCTGCCTTAATCCCTTATATAGCAGAGGACTTTCTGGATAATCATTATATGCATTGCAACAGGATAAAAAGCACCAATCCAGTGGGAATGATTCATACAAAAACTGTCAAATCAAAGAGCTGCTCTGCAGGCTTCTGGTGATCTCACAACCTAAAATTAAAAAAGGAAAGCTATGTAGGTACTGCCAGTTTGATAAGCATTTCTTGGCCAGTGTTTCTATCTGTCCAGGAAAAAAGCAATCAACCAAAAGTCACTTGAAATGTTAAAACATTGCAGTAGTGGCATTAATTAGTGGAGCAATAAGGAGTGTCCTTCCCAATCTGTATTGCTTTGTGACTGCCCTGTCTCAGAATCAGAGCAATTTAGGGGACTGAAGGCTAAAACATATGAGGAACGGTTGCAGGAATTGGGTATGTTTAATTTAATGAAAAGAAGGACCAAGGGTGACATGATAGCAGTGTTCCAATATTTGTTAGTCTGCCACAGAGAAGTGGGGATCAACCTATTCTCCAAAGCACCTGAGGGCAGGATGAGAAGCAATGGATGGAAACTAATCAAGGAGAGAACTAAGGAGAAATTTCCTGACAGTGAGAACAATAAATCAGTGGAATGACTTGTCTCCAGAATTTGTGGGTGCTCTGACACTGGAGGTTTTTATGAAGAAATTGGACAATCATTTGTCTGAAATGGTATGAGATCTCCTGCTTAAGCAGGAGGTTGGACTAGAAGACCTCCAAATTCCCTTCCAACTCTGTTATTCTCTTATGAAGAAGGGAGCCCTTTTGTGGTAGCCATTTTGGGAGGATCTTCTCTGGTCCTAATGATTTATAGGAATACTCAGCTCAAACAATATGGGTCCTGGGCATACAGTAGTAAACAAACAATAAATAAAAAATAACCATCTCACATAAAACAAACTGTGTCTAAAGTATGATTATTTATGCCTGGGCATTTGTGCCTTGAGTGAGAACTCTGAGTTGATGATCCATTTCTTTGCTTTCTTGGCCATCCATGTTATATCAGGAATCTCCTCTGAGATAAGCAAGGAATTTTGGAGAGCACAGAATAGAAGAGGAGGGGAAAGACTACCATAAGTTCTGAAGTAGCCAAATCTTTGTTTGGTCTAAGGTATTTTAAAATCATGAATCCAGACTCAAATAAAAGTAGCTGATATTTGTTTTTACATGTCAACATTATATATCTTCAACTTAACAAGTACACCATTATGACCTTCCTCCACAAAGTTGAAATTTGAATTTAATATTAAACTATAGTTTGCTTAGATTTATCATGATGTAAGAACCCAGAAATAGTCATTTTCAATCCATGATTTATGATGTATCATGCTATATATAGACCAAGCCAACTTAAGCTTAGTCAAGGAACCATTACAGAAATATAAGTATTAGTCTTGCTTTTGTGTTTATAGTAGTCCACCTGGTTTTATATATATGGCACTGCTGGGCACCCATCAGCTCTTCAATCTCTCACATGATGCAGTATTTGCGATGGTGGAAAAAATTGTCCTCCACCCAGACTTCAATGGGAAGGCTGCCTCCCTTGGAGATATTGCTTTAATTCAACTGAAAACACCAGTTAAATTCACCAGCTCCATTATGCCCATCTGTTTGCCGACATCTGAAAATTTCTCTGTGGAAGCAGATTGCTGGATCACTGGATGGGGAAAAATTAAATATGGAGGTGAGGCACATAAAAGGAATCTGCAGTCTGATTAGCATAATACTAGCTTGGAATAAATTATTTAAAAATATAAGAAATAAACTCTATAACAATAGGGAACAGAAGTATACTTTTTCTTTCTTTCTAATTCTTTTTCATTTTGGTCAGGGTTTAACCTCTTTAAATCATCATTTTTCTCTGTGAATCTCCTGAGTGTGAATTGGTAGGTCATAGATGTCCCAAGATGTCCCTCAAACAAAATATTTTGCTTATATAGCCCAGGATTAGAAAGAGTTGCTAAAATAGAAATGTTAAGCATATTAGATACTTCATGCACATTTGTTGTTTTTCAGATATGTAAAAAAATGGTACTTATCACCACATTTTTGTGGTACGATGACAGACATTCATGTCAATGTGTATAGTGACATCATAACTCAAATGCCACCCTTGCATATTTGCATCCCAACTTGTTGTACAAGTAATTTGTACTTGGTATTATTTTATGTTATGATGTTTTGTCTCTTCCCAGATGCAGTCCTGGGAAAGATACAATAACTATAATAGTAAGTCACAGTTCATGATCTATAAACTGTATTGAGTAGGTTTACCCATAGCATTAAACCAGAAATTAACAAAGATCATGATGGCGTAGAACAATGGCAACCCAATCGTTACATGCTTGGGTTCTCAAAAAAATGCAATGCAAATGTCTTTACCATAATCTGCTGAGCAAAATTAGTCCCGTCTTGTCTAAGGAACAATTTTGTACAGATACACATTTCCTGCTGTATCTATTTATATAGTACATCCATTACTAAAATGACACATGTCCAATTAGGATGATTCCAAAATGCTTTTTTGTAACCCCCTCCTCTCTCCCACAGTACCTTTGCCACCTCCACTAACCCTCCAGGAAGTGAAAGTGTCTCTCATAAACCAGAATGACTGCAATGGGATCTACAACAACTTTCCAGTTATGGGCCTTGGCGAGGATGCTATCAAGGATGATATGATTTGCGCAGGTTATCCAAATGATGGAAAGGATTCCTGCCAGGTATGATGTTCCATATAGGTTTCTGAAATTTTTACATTCATGGGGTTAAATTCAATTACCTCTTTTCTTCTGTAACATGAGGATGTATGGAAAACACACGATCATGGCATAAACAGTTATACTTTTTATGATGATTAGAGGTTACAGTCATTAACACTATGAATAATAGACACTACTGAGAGATCATTCTTTCTATATGATGCCTGCCCCTTTCTAACTAAGATCTTTGAGAAGGTTCACTGACCATTGTTGTTAGTTTCTCTTTTTAGTGAATTGGTTCCTTTTTATTTTATTTCTGACATTGCTACTGTTTTATCAGTATTATAGCTATGTATGTTTACTTATATTCCAGTCTAAGATTGTTACAAAGCATTTACTCATTCAATTATATTTTTTTTCCTTTTGGGGGGAAAGAAAAAGAAAGTAAAAATAAAACCAATGATAAAACACTGCAACTTTAGCAGACTATAATGCAATTTATTAATTATTTTGATAGTCCATTCCTTATATAATTCAATATATGGAATTCTATTTATTGGTTTAATTTATATCCTGTCTTTATTTTTTTGTAAATAACTCAAGGTAGCAAACAAACTGAATCCTCTTTCTTCCTCCTATTTTCCCCACAATTATATGAAATGGGTTGGGCTGAGAGACAGTGAGTGGCCCAGGGTCACCCAGCCTGTTTTTCATGACTAAGGTGGAAGTAGAATTCATAGATTCCTGGTTTCTGGCCTATTTCTTTAACCCACTAGACTAGTGATGGTGAACCTTTTAAAGACTGAGTGCCCAAACTGCAACCCAAAATACGCTTATGCATCATCGGGTGCCGAGTGGGTGTGGCCCATTGGGTGGGCATGGCTGCAGTGGTAACAGCAGACTGGGTGGGACTAAAAAGTTCAATCAATCAATTCCAACTTTGCAAGATCTTTTTTTTCCCATGAGAAGTTGAAATTGACTGAATGATTGAACCTTTTTTTTTTTTTTTTTGTACACAGCAGCAGAGGCCTAAAGCAAAAAGGTTTTATAAAACCCGGCTGAAGGCCTAGGATTGGGGCAATGGCGTGCATGCCCACAGAGAGGGCTCCAAGTGCCGCCTCTGGCACCCGTGACATAGGTTCGCCACTACTGCACTAGACCAAGCTGGCTGTCTATGTCCATGTACTGTTAGTAAAAATTGACAAGAGTCTTCAGCAGTCAAAATAACAATAGCTTTAAATAAAACAAATGTAAAGGATTTTTCCCAATATTGCAGATACAGGTAGTCCTTGCTTAGCAACTGCAATTGGAACCAACAATTCAGTTGTTAAGCAAAGCAGTCACCACAGGTAGTCATCAATTTACAACAGTTCATTTAGTGACCATTCAAAGTTACAATGGCACTGAAAAAAGTGACATGACCATTTTTCACATTTATGATCGTTGCAACATCTCCATGTTCACGTGATTTACATTTGGATGCTTGACAACTGACTCACATTTATGACGGCTGCAGTGTCCTGGAGTCATGTGATCCCCTTTTGCAGCCCTCTGACAAGCAAAATCAATACAGAAACAATATTCACTTAACCATATTACTAATTTAACAACTGCAGTGATTCACTTAAGAAATGGGGCGAGAAAAATTGTAAAATGGAGCAAACTCACTTAACAAAATTTTCACTTAACAACATAAATTTTAGGCTCCGTTGTGGCCATAGGTCAAGGACTACTTGTAAATGAAAATGATGTGATCTCAATTGTCCTTGCACATTTGCACAGGGCAAAGGGATTTAACTAATTGTAAAGGCAAACATGTGACTGAGAGAGAAAAGCTGCAAGATTTGTAAATGTGGGCATTAGTCCCAAAGTTACTTTTTCCTCACCCTTGCAAATGCAAATGGTCGCTAAGTGAAGCAATCACTAAATAAGAATTAATTGTAATGGCTAAAATTAGGGAGAATGTGACTCATCTGAGAAATAAGTGGCTGAGGATGTGAATGAACTGAGTTAGACCTCACTTCAATTCATTGACATACATACCAATGATTCCTCCCCCCCCCCCTCTGTTTATATGTTTCTTCCCCAGGGTGACTCAGGAGGCCCTTTGGTTTGCCAACTCCAAGGAAGGTGGACTCAAGCTGGGATTGTGAGCTGGGGAATTGGATGTGCTAGTAAAAGATACCCTGGCGTCTATACTTCAGTGCCTTATTATTCTGACTGGATCAAAGATGTAATGGAGGAGAACATGAACAACAAACCCAACTCTGGCAATGTACCCATTCAAAATGTATCCACTCCACTGGTACCCATTCAAAATGTATCCACTCCACTGGTACCCATTCAAAATGTATCCACTCCACTGGTACCCATTCAAAATGTATCCACTCCACTGGTACCCATTCAAAATGTATCCACTCCACTGGTGCCCATTCAAAATGTATCCACTCCACTGGTACCCATTCAAAATGTATCCACTCTAGTAGTGTCTTCTCAAAATGTATCCAAACTAATAACACCCGCTCAAAACACACTCATTCAAAATGCATCCAACCTAATAATACCCAGGCTAGTAGTCCTTTTATTGTCCATTGTACTGGCTGTTTTTTGATATCTTTTTACATTCAGCTTATCAATTAACAGAGTTTCCCAACCTTAGAAACTTTACAAGGTATGAACTTCAACTCCCAGAATTCAGCCAGAGAAATACTAAGTTAACTGAAAGAGAATGGTGGGCTCTGCTTAAGGGCATTCCTAATCCATCTGATTGATTTAGCTTATTTCAAAATGTGTTACTAATGATTTGTGCCAGTAGAGCCATTACTGCCATGTAATGAAAATGCTGAGATTTTGTCCTACTCTGAATATTAGTATATTTTTCCATGACTATTAAAATTAATATTTGAAGGTCATAATACTCATATATAACAAGGCATATTAGTTTGCACAAATGTCAATGTTCTGAAAATTTTTATACTACACAAAATCATTCTTTTTCCCTTTGGAGGGAAAAGTGGAAATATTTGAGATAACAATAAAGTTCATTTTTGGTGTTCACCTTATAGGACTCTTTATTGATTTAAATTCACTTTGTTATTGTAAGAGCCTACCATATGGTATGTTTGACTTGGTTTACTCTCATAAGCATCATGTTTGACATTTATTAAATATAAAAGTGCAATTTAATCAGAAAATAATTATACTTCTTTTGGTGAATTTTTTAAAATGTTTTTAAAATGTTCTCTTGGTACTTTGCATTCCTTCTGTCTTTTGTGACCTTGTAAACAACACTAGTCTCTTGATAGAAATTCAGCATCAGGCAGGCCCACAGGCAAATAAGAGACAGATTCATCTGTACTTCCACAGTTAAAACAGGTGTGCCTCCTTTTTCTTTTACTGGGAAACTGTGATGAATTCTGTATAAAGGAAATTTAGTCCCACTGATTCCCTTTTGATGTTATAAGTTAATTGAAATCATGGGTCTGCAGGAGAATAAGAGATAATAATATATGAGCACCTTGTATTATTTATTATTTTAAAAGGAAATATCTAATTGGACTGTTTTTATGCTTTCCAAAATTTATGGATGGGGTTATAGGCTTGGGAGGGAAAAATGGAGGTTGAAGGAAGATTTCTTAATTATTTCAAGCCTTCATATCTGTAGTAGTGTAACATGAAATGGTAAAAATTAAAGAATTGTGAATTTAATTTATTTTATTTGGTGGTGTTTCAGATACATAGAAATTATGTTGTCTTTTACATGTAGAATGTACACATTTGGAGTGAGCATACTGTCAGCTGTCATCTTATGCTTGCTGTGCTTAACTGTTATGCAGTAACAGACTGCCATGAACAGTGAGGAGGGGGGATGAGGAGGGGGATGTTTGGGGAATCAAAGGTAGAGACTGTACCTTCTCAAGATGCTGCCCCAAGGTCAGCTGGAAGAAGGAGGGAACCATATACCAAGCAGAGCTTGGAATGACCATTATGAAAACATCTTGCATAGACTTGATTGGTTACAGTGGGATGAGCAGCAAGAGACTTTGGGGGCAGGGAGCGGTAAGTAGAACTTAGGGATTTTGGCATGCAATTCTCAGTTCTGGCCATGCAATACTGCAGTGCACTTGACCTTTAATAAAACTATACCTTTCTCAACAAATGGAGCCAAGGATCTATTCTGTTTAGAGGTTTAGGTTTAGGTTGTGACCAGAATGTGTACTAATAACAGAAATATTCAGTTGAACAGGTCTTGATTAACAAAATCAAGGATGCTATCAAAGACAAAAAGCTCAGCCTGACTGAACTCCTGATAGCATTCATTCTTTCGGGAGTGAAAAAGCCTTATCTATTGCCTCCAAAAAGAGTGCCCCAATTTCTTTATATCCCCCTTTGTGATATAAAGAGAAATATCATTTTGTGAAAAAGTATTGGAGAGATATCTCTAGATTGTTGTCCCATTAACCTAATCTGCTCCTGTGTTTGATAAACTTTTACAAACTTTAACTCCTGACAGGCTGAAATACAAAGGTAACTGGGGCCCTGATTGGATCTCCATTGTATTTGGCTGCCTAGAATTATATAAGTAAAAATAAAAAACAGCGGTACATTCAGGGCAAGTGTGTCTGAGATTCCCTATATCTAAGAATGTCTGGCTTGGTTCAGTGCAACACTTGCTTTGCAGCTGTCTTTCACAATGCCCTTTTTAAACTTGGTAACTGTCCTATCTGTAAACAAATCACTAGTCTACAAGAACAGATTATTTATCTAGGGTCTGTAATCTGTGCTCTTCAGGCAGAAAGAAGGTGTCCAGTTCAGTCCCACTACTCTACTGAGCCTCTGCGCTATCAGCCCCCTCCACCACAAAGATCCTGCAGGAGAAGGGCAGTGTGTACAACCATGGGATCTGGCAGGGTGAGAGCTATGAACCATAAACACAAAGCTTTTGCTGTGTCCCTGCACAACAGATACAGTGTCCTTGCTGACCTTAAAAGGGACATTAAGGAGACAGGTAAAGGTATTTGTGATAATAACTCAAATAAGCAGGGGATCGTGGTCTGAGATGAAGAATTTGTTTTTGACAGGGAGAAGCGTGAATCAGGTATTACATATCAGTCATGCAAGAACAAAAAGACATCCAAAAAGAGGTAGGTGATTCAATTATAAGGGATGAAAATTTAGGAAAGGACAAAGAGGTTTCAAAAGAGGTCAGATGTCTTCCAGGTGCTACTGCCAGTAGGGACAAGAAGCATATTTCTAAAATAATCAAGAATGCCAGCAAGGACTGTGATGTGGAGGCTATTGTACATCTTGGCACTAACGATCTGTCTCAAAAAGATGTACTCTCTGTGCAGAACAATTTCCAGAGCTTGAGGCAGGAACTTAGCAGAACAGGCTGTAGGCTTACTTTTTCAGAAGTTTTACCAGTATATAAGGAGCAAATTGGAAAAGGCCACCGTATAACACAATTCAATATATGGCTAAAGGAGTAGTGTAAAGGGGAAGGGTTTGGATATATTAGTCACGATGTCTGTAGCTGGTCCAATGAAAAAATGTACAGAAGAAATGGTTTGCATCCATCAAAGAAAGGGACTGAGTTACTCGACTATAAATTCACAGATTTTCTGGAGGAATATTTAAACTAAACAATGGAGCAGTGAGTTAATTGTTACAGAACATCCCTGTAACCAGCAATCTAAAAACTATAGGGCTATCAGTGCATGTAACATAGATGTGTGTGTGGACAAGAATATCAACCTTGCTGTCAAGCAAAATCAAGCTTCTAATAGCAAGTGTCACACAAAATGCACTAACCAAATAGGTAGTAAGACAATAGGGGAACTCAGGCACCACTCAGGTTACGTAGAAAGTAAACACAGGGTCAGTCATAAAGGACTCAAATGTCTATACACCAATGCACAGAGTATGAACAGCAAACAGGGTGAACTAGAAATTCAGGTTAATGAGGGTAGATATGATATTGTTGCCATTACGGAAACATGGTGGGATGAAACCCACAAATGGAACACAACTAGAGGGATTTAAATTATTTAAAAGAAACAAACCAAATAAAAGAAGAGGCGGAGTTGCTCTATATGTAAGAAATAACTACATCTCTACAGAAATAGAGCACAACAATGATGAAAACTGTCTTGAATGCATTTGGGTAAATATAAAAGGGAGAAAATGACATTACCATAGATGTATACTACAGGCCACCCAACCAAACAGAGGAAATAGATGAACTTTTTGCTAGTCAGCTAACTAAGGTATGTAGGAAGCATATCACAATAGTAATGGGGGACTTTAACTATCCTGACATCAACTGGGAGACAAACTGCATCAAGTGGAAGATCAAACAGATTCCTTGCAAACCTAGCAGACAATTTTGTCTCCCCAAAAGTAGAGAAGGGAACTAGGGGATTGGACATTTTGGATCTAATTCTCACTAACAGAGATGAAATGATAGAAGGTATTGAAGCCACAGGAACCTTGGGGAAAAGTGATCAATATTGGAATTCAACATTATGGAAGCACAAGCAATAGAACACAATCAAACTAGAACTAATTTCAATAAACTAGAGAGGGCTTGGGAAGGATTCCATGGATGAGAATCCTCAAGGGGAAAACAACTCAAGAAGCTTGGAAAATTTTGAAAAGTGAGATAATAAAAGCCCAGTCCAGCACAATACCAACAAAGAGGAAAAATAACAGTTCTCAAAAGAAACCAGCATGGCTGCACAAAGAACTCTCTGATAAATTGGAAGATAAAAAGGACAAGTATAGAAAGTGGAAAAAGGGCACATAACTAAGTCAGAATATCAACAAATAGCCCGAGCATGCAAAGATGAAGTGAGGAAAGCTAAGGCTCAAAATGAACTAAGGCTTGCGACCAAAATCAAAAATAACAAAAAAAAACTTATTTCAACATGTAAAACAACAAGAAAAAAGTGAAGAAAATGATTGGTCCATTAGTGGGTGAAAGTGGCAAGAAGGTGACAAGCAACAGGGAGAAAAAAAAAACTTCTTTCAACATGTAAAACAACAAGAAAAAAGTGAAGAAAATGATTGGTCCATTAGTGGGTGAAAATGGCAAGAAGGTGACAAGCAGCAGGGAGAAAGCAGAACTATTTAACTCATTTTTTGCATCTGTCTTTACACAAAGGGAAAAAACAGACCAACCTACCAAAAATAGTGCCATAAAAAACAGAATAGAAACACAAGTTAAGATAGGCAAGAAAATGGTAAGTGAGCACTTGTCCAGCCGAGACAAGTTCAAATCACCAGGACCAGATGGATTACACCCCAGGGTTCTCAAGGAACTGGCAGATGTGATCTCAGAACCATTGAATTATATTTTTCAAAGATCCTGGAGCACTGGGGGGCTACCAGAGGACTGGAAAAGAACTGACGTAGTTCCCATCTTCAAAAAAGGAAAAAAAATAGACCCAGGAAATTACAGACCTATCAGCCTGACCTCAATACCTGGGAAGATTCTGGAAAAGATAATCAAACAACAGATCAGTGAACATCTAGAGGCAAACAAAGTCATTACTAAAAGCCAAGATGGGTTTGTCAAAAATAGATCATGCAATCTTATTGCATTCTTTGACCAAATGACAAAATTAGTGGATCAAAGGAATGCTGTGGATATAATTTACTTGGACTTCAGTAAGGCATTTGATAAAGTAGATCACAACCTACTACTTGATAAGAAAGAAAAATGTGGTTTAGACAGCATCACTACCAGATGGATCCGTAGCTGGATCACCAGATCTGTAGCTGGCTGACTGGCCGTACTCAACGTGTGGTCCTCAACGGAACCACATCTACATGGAGCGAGGTGTGTAGTGGAGTGCCCCAGGACACTGTTCTGGGCCCAGTGTTCTTCAACATCTTCATCAACTATTTGGAGGAGGGGATAGATGGAGAAATCATCAAATTTGCAGATGACACCAAGCTGGCAGGAACAGCCAACACTCCAGAAGACAGGCTTAGGATATAGGAGGATCTGGAAAGATTTGAACATTGGGGGCTATCTAATAAAATGAAATTCAGTG